ATTATCACTGTATTATCACATGACTTATCTATATTGAATTATGAGAAGATTATAATGAATATTAATAAAGAAAAGATGAGAGTGATTACATCTTATATAGTATTTCTTAAAGATATATCACAGCAAAATAGCAATGCAGGAATTAAAAAATCAATTATAAAAAGATCTTACTAAAGCTGTTTTATTAATAATAAGAATCAACTGAATTTAAACTATAATTTATATAATAATGACTGATTTTATTATTATATATAGCATCTTCAGACTAAACTAGATAACCTGCTGAATCTCATATATAGAGATCAAATATGTCAAGAGCAGAATATAACAGTATAGACAGTATCTCTTTTTTAAATATACTTAAGTTTGAATTTAATCTCATTTTTCTCTTCAGATTCATGCTATAGTGAGTTTATTAAAATATCAGAGATTTTATACTTATTACTGATCTATTCTGTTCTATCACTGTATAATCAGTAAGAATACTTTTAAATATTACAGATATTTCTCTTTTCTTATAATTAAAATTATTTACAGTTACTAATCACTCATCTTAAGAAGTATCAGCTTCAAGAACATACTTAAGCTTTAATTATTATATTTCTTATCTTACAGTGTGAGCTTAGAGAGAGATAACTTAATTCAGTAATTAAGTAGATTATTTCTGCAGCATTTTCAGCACAAAGTTAAAATCAATCATCTATTAATCTTATTATTTAGATATATACAGTTATTATAAGAAGTAATAGTCTATTAATATTTCAATCTCTGAGAGAAAATAATTCTGAAGTAGTCTATTAAATCATACTTATAGCTCACTGATAGTTATAGTTTCTTATTAAAGCTGCAGTGAGAGTAGCAGTGATATTTAAATTATTCTAAGCTGATTCAGTTATTAGTTATCAATTATCTTCTACTTCAACTATGAGTACAGTTACTATATATACTGACAGTGATAATTATATTAAAAAAGCAAAGCTTATATAATATATAAAGAGTCAGCTGAATATATATATTAACTTATACTATATTAAGTTAATTAAAGAATATACTGTATCTAACAATTATAATATTCTAATAGAAGAGAATAAGTATTAAGACTATAAAAATCTAGTGTAGTGAATAAATTATTAGAATATAAAAAAGATACTACTCTTATAGAAGAGTTTTCAGTGAATCTTATAACTAGTATTAAGAGATTTCTTTAACAGCTCTGATATACATCTGATACAGAAGATTCAGAATTTATATACATATTACTCAGCACTTTTTAATAATTTATTAAGAATGAATAAAGAAGCTGAAGATAAGAATAATAATTCACTGAATTACTCTATTAAATTAATATTAATAAAAGATTATATTACTCTGAAGATTTTTAATCATCTATTATTAAGTAAGATATCAGAGAAAGTTAATATACAATTTATAAATCTCTTTAAGCTTGAATTACTTTATTTATTTCTTAATAATCTATGAGAATTCTATGACACTGATTGAAATAAGTTCTTAGTTTTAAAACTAGATCACTGTTCAATTCTTTTCTATAATAAGTTAATATTCTCAGTTCAGTATATCTCTTCAACTAATCAATTAATCAGTTATTAACTTATTAATATATAAATCAGAGAGTGTATTTACTGAATCTCTTTTATAAAAAAAGATATTCTTTAATATCAGAGAACTAATCTTAACTGAATTATAACTATCTTTATTTATAAAATGAGAGAGATTAAGTGAATTTTCTTTACACTTACTTCTCTATATTATATCAGACAGAATCATCTGCTGAATCTACTGATTTTATAAGAGAATTCTGATAGTTACACTATTATTAAGCTTTCAGCAGTTCAAAAGACAGTATTATATAACATTTCAATACTGAATACTGATAAAAATAATAATTATTTAATATATGAATCTCAGACAATAAGATATTTATATTACACTTGAGATATCTCATTTCTTTAGATAGTAATTTGATTTATATAAAGTAGTTAACTAGTCTAGCTGAATAGTATACAAGTATTGATTTTATTGATAGAACAGTATATTGTGGCTCACAGTATCCCAGTAGTATCTTGATGATGGCATCCGCTGATTACATGGTGACTGAGCCATCCCCCAATGGTGTCAAGAAGTCCTGTGCTGTTTCAATGCTATCTTGATGTTTAATATTCAGCGATGTGTCGCTGAATATAATGGTGGAACATGTGTTACAATCGGCGACACGTGACACGGGTGGAATGGTGGATCCACGGTGTAATCACCGTAAATTAACCCTACGTTCTTCCCGTATGGCTGCTGTGGCAATTCCACGTGATGCCGAACAGGAAAAAAGGGGCGGGATAGACATGACATGGCAGCTGTAATAAATTATTTGAAACGTGTGTATCTAATAATTCAAACCAGAATGACTAAATAACTGAGCCCCAAAATTCCCAGCCAACTTATCCCAATTAAAAAATAGTTTACAGATATCTCAACACCCACTGCGCGAAAAGATAAAGCCTAAGCCATGCTAAAAATTTTAACCGCTACGTCTCAACCCGTATCTTCTTGCTCCTCCTGTGAGAGATGTTGGCTGGACATCCAAATAGGCGGACCAGGAACGCTCTCCATCATGCTATCTGTCAACAATTGGCTTGCGGTCACAAGGCCCTGGCATCCAATCTGCGAATCTCCGCAAGCAATCTGGTCCGGCTCTGCATCGCCAACGTCACTTTGCTGTGAGGACGCAACTAGCACCACGGGTGGTGACGACGGGGGAGGAATATTTCCCTCTATTGCAGTGTTCAGATGCTGAGCCGGTTGTGAATTCATGACAAGGTTCGTCTGGCTATTCTCGGCGGGTTTTGATGTGGTATCATCTTCTCCCTTTCCCTGTTGAGATTCATGTTCTTCCTCGGGAATGGTAGAAAGTGGAGAGATTGCGCATTCCTCGTTTTCTGCCTCGACGGCTGGAAATAGCTCAGCCAGCCTCTGTGTATCGATATTGTCGAGCTCAGAGCCCGGATCAAACGCTAAGCTCATGGGTTTGCGGTAATAGAGTATCGACGGCTCGGATCCAAGAGTATTCTCAGGAAGGGTGTGACATGTTTCCGGGCCTAAGTTACGGTATTGAGTCGGGAGTTCACGTAGAGTGTTATCATCACCATCACCATCATCGTTGCCCGATCTGCAGTTATGAAATAGTTGACTTTGCGTCCGCCAGGAATCGTGGTCGTTGCCTGAAATGTGAAATATAGAGTCGTAGACCTCCTCGTCCTCTGTTTCTGCGTCCGTTTCATATATCACCCTGTTCTTTGACTTTTCTGCATCACGGACAGTCGTGTCAGGATCCCCGGGTCCTATCTCCTGGCCTTCTGTCCTTATTTTATTTTGTAAATCATGCGATGAGGTTGGGAGCTTCGTATTCGAGTCCTCTTCAAACACCAGTGGAGGAGATGTAGTAGGTGTAGTTTCATGCCCGATTACTGACTCCTCTGGGCAACTGCGAGAAGAAGAACAAGTGCCAGCAGAGTAAAAAGAGGACTCGGGGATTTCGTAAGGCGTCGTTCGCGAGACACGGCTGGAAGTTTTATATTCATTTTTCAGGGGAGATGTAGCTTTCTTTGGCGTCACATTATGAGGTAACGGCGCAAGTGGAAATTTAGGCGGAGGCTCCTTGAATGTCCGTGGGGAGATTATCAGATCTGGACTGTCTGGTGATTGTGATGAAGGAACTACCAGTCTGATTGGTCTCCGTGGCGTCACAGGTCCTGCTGCTGATATATCGGCTCCAGAGTTGAGGGGAGGAGGATGCACAATTTGCGAAGGATAGCCTTCAATATTCGCCTCCGAAGCCTTTCTTTTCTTGCTTCGTCTGCCAATATGGCTGTCACAGTTTGTGCTGATCTTTTGAAGAGTTTCATCACCCATCTCAGCTTCTGGCTCCTCTCCAATAGTCTCCATCAGGGGCACGCCCTTCCTCTTGCCCAACCCAGCATGCAAGTGGCGTGTTCCTCCATCACAGTCCCAACCACTAGACCTCATAACATAACCCATCTGGGTCAGAGTCCTGTCATCATCCTCTCCATCAGTCTCATCCACCTCCTTCCTCCCAGCAATACCACTCTTCTTTCCAGTGCTATCCCTCTTCCCGCTTCCCTTTCTCCGTTTTGACGATTGGCCAGATTCGCCATACTCTCCATCCCAATTATCCCTATCAATATACTCTAGCTCCAACCCGTCATCCTCATGTTCATCATCAAGTGCCAGCAATGCCTGCGCCCGTTTCACAAAATCAATTTGGGTCAGGGTGTTCTGGCTGCGCGTGTTCCCTCCCAAGGCCAGCCTATGTTGCCGTTCGCGATTAATTCTTGATTTAGTTGCTGGACGTGCTCGTCTTGCCTGTTGTTTAGTCCTCTGGTGGGTTGTCTTGAGAACGTGCTTGTCGGGTTCGTCGGGTCGGGTCGGGTTTTTCAGACTATTTTTCTTCGGTGGCATCTTTTTAACTTTCTTTTCTTTTACTCGCAAAGAAAAATAAAAAGAAACACGGAAAAAGGAAAAAGGAAAAAAAGCTCTACCGGATGAATACTCGAAAAGGAGACATTGATGCCTACGTCATGTGATTTCACGACTTGCAGAGACGCGACGACGCGTGTATGACGTAAGGTGTTGTCTCCTGCTCACGTCAACAATTGAAAAACCAGATAGAAATTAACTGGTTCACAAACCATCCATTGTTATGAATTGGGAGAGGGGCATTTGGGACAAAAGAAAAGGAATAAAATAGTATTAAATGAGCATCTACCGTCCGCTACTACATACTCCGTACAGCTCTTTTTATCTAGCACAAAGCGAATAAAATGCGGTAAATTCTATCCGACAAGCGCCATGTATGATAGTTATATCCCCCATCATGAGCAAAGCCAGTTTTAGCAAAGCGAGGACTAAAGAAGAAATGGCAAAGATGATTAAAAAAAAAAAAAAAAAAAAAAAAAAAAAAAAAAAAAAAAGTATTTATCCCAAAGTCTTAATCCCCCATCCGTACAGAAGTATATTATATTATTCCAGATCCCAAATCCCAAAGCCTAACCCAGGCAACCGTATAACAAACAGTGTGGGGATAGTTATATATACCTATTTATACAAAACTAATACGAAACCTGCTTGAAAATGCAAAACAGAACCCCGAGGAAAACAAAACAGTTAATGCTCCTGTATTTAAATTAAATTAATCAGAGAACAACCACTCAGGCTCCGCATCCTCGTCCTCCGGATCATGCGAGAGCATCGAACTCTGGTCAATCTCACTGTCGGATTCCCCTTCGTGCACAAGGTCAGGCACACCGCAGATCTCCTCTACGCTACACTCCTCGTCGCTGCCCGAGGAAGGGACAGCGATAGGGGCTGTGGGAGAGCCCTCTGGTGCGGTTGTTGTGGGGGGTCGTTGCTGTTGCAGTTGCGATTGCGATTGCGGTTGCTGGCGCTGAGGGGTATGAGTTTGTTGGGCCTGTGTTTGTTGCCGCGCTGTTTGCGCATGTGATGGAGTTGTAGTTGGGGAGGTATGAGGTTGGGGAAGGTGTGCTTCAGATGCAGCATTCGGGGTCACTATTAAGGTATATCGTGACTTCTCTTGCGGTCGGAGAGAGTTACTTCCTATAGCTGTGGCAGATGTGGAAGAGCCCGCTTCATCAGGGGCTAGGATGGGTGGCATAAATCCCCCGCCCGTGGTTGTCGAGTCCTCTTCTCCGTCTATTCCTTCCGGAATGAAGCCACCAGCTTCGAAGGCCCCTTCAAACTGGGGCAAACCCTTCTGTGAGGGCAAGGCCTCCACCTGACCGCTTTCGCGAATAAAACCTCCACCTCCTTCAATATCATCATTTTCATCTCCATCCGAAACCCTCTCTTTCTCTTCCTCTTCCTCTTCGTCCCCCTCCCCCTCAAAAGCATAACTCCTCACCCGCTCCGCAACCCTCAGCTTCAGTAACAGCAGCTTCCACATCCCAAGCGCCTCCGCAGTCCGCTTCTCATGCTCAGCCTGCACCCGCTCGTCCTCCAACGCGTCAAGAACAGCGCAGAGAGCATCGCGATACTCAACAGATGCAACAATCCCTTGCACAACAGCAGTACCATGCCTGCCCCTAAACTGGAACCCAGTCACCGCGTCCGCATAGTCAATGCCGAGAATCCTCGCTGCGTTTGCGGCTTCCGTGTGTCGAAGGTGAAAGCCACCTTCCGGTACCATGCTAGGCGTATACACGTCAATATTACCGTAGGCATTCTTCGTCACACGATTCTCGACGACGGGTGGTGGTTGGTACAGGTCCGTTTGGTGAATGGCATACATGGGAGTCTCCTGACCCTCCTCTTCGTAGTCTGAGAGCTCTTCGCGGTGCTCAAAATCTCCTTTGGATCTGGACACGGGAACCCTTTTCAGAGGCTGTTCGCCTACCTTCACCTCCCGACCCAGCCGGTACCACCCATCCGCGCTCTTCACGACGTGCACATCCCCGCGCCGATAGACGGATTCCAGCGGGGGGTTTTTCTTGTTCGTAGATACCTTACTGAGCCCAACTTTCCCAATTTCCCTCCTAGGAAATATAACTTCATTCCTCCGCAAATGTCTCTCCAACGCATAAACAGGGTGGTCCTTGAAATCCTGAACGTTCCTCGGCATCATTTCTGCCGCAACTTTTGCCGTCAATTCGCCGATTTCCACCTGGTCCCGGTCATCCAGGAACGGTTTCTCAAAGAAGTTCATCGTACGCGCCCACCATTCCTCGCCGTTCTTAGTAGACTCCACGCGCTGCTTTCTCGTCTTGGAGTTGAACGATTTCGTGTAGCGTTTTGTGACGTCGCGGGCGGACGCGTCGTCTTCGAAAGCGATAACATAGCTCATATTGTTGTAGCGGTCGCTGGCTGGGGGCTCAAATTTAGAAGGTTTCCCCACGGTGTTGGTCACGATGGGGTCGACAGGGACCCATTTTTGCATCGCTTCGTTGAACGCCTCCACCCAGAATACGGGGAAGGGAGACTCTGAAAATGCTCGTGGCAAAGCTATATATGTTCATATCATTTGTTATTACTAGCTATCCCATGACTCAATAGGACAATACGTAAAAGGGTTTCAACTAACCAGTCGGCAGCCTAGGTTTAGGGCTGGGCGCAGGACTTGAAGAAAATCGGGGTTGCCCAATACGCCGGATCCGTGACGACGGGGCCGTTTCGTGCGTCTTTGTAGAACCATGAGTGGCTAGTGAACCGTCATCCTCAGAGACGACAATATACTCCCGCTCCGGTTTCAGGGGCATGATCCCTTTCGCAACTCCCGCAAATGGGAGTACCTGCAGGGAGCACACCAGTCGCACATCCACGCCCACAGCTCGCAGAAGCGCACAGAAGAGCTGGGCACCGAGGTCCCTCGATCCTCGTAGGGCAACGGCTTGTTTGAGGAAGTCTTCTTTGGATGATAATATCTCCGCAGTATCTAATAGGCCCTTTGGGTTTGTTAGCAGGGGGTCAAGCTTTATATTTTTGCGTATTTTCGGAGGAAACTAGAAATGTATGGTTTTTATCACACACAGTTGGGTCTTTCAACTCGTTTGGATTCTCGAGCCAATATGGCCGTTTCATGCCGGGCACGGTTACTTTGAAATGGCGCCGGAACGCTTCCGTAGCCTGATTCAGACCATCTGCAAAGGTTGTCGAGCGCGTAAACTGTGGTAAGGTCTCCTTGGGATTTAGACACATGACCGTATGCTTGGAGAGAAGTCGCTTCAGCACATTCTAGACGGAGAAGAGATTTGTTGTTAGTTGGTTTCCACCAGCTGCAGAAGTCCACAACATCTAGTTTTATATACGAACCTGAACCTTATCATCATTACACCACAAATTCCTCAGTTGCACATGGCCTAGCAGACACAAGACGTGCATCTTATGAATATCCAGTCGCCACTTCTTCTCCTGCGCTGTGATGGGTTTCCTTCTCACAGCAGCAGCGCGCTGTTTCCCTTTCTCCGGCTTCTCAAGCGTAATCTGTAGCAGCTCTTCAGACTCCTCCACCCCTACCTCCTGTTGTTCCGCAGCCCCGTGATACCCCAGCCCGGACGCAGACGCAGATGTAGACGCGGATGCAGCTGCAGCTGCAGGCGTGACGATAGAGACCTCGACATCCTCCCACTCCATCTCCTCCTCATCATCCGACACATCCACGTCATATACAGTCTGAACCGGTTTGCCAACATAAACTCCCACCCCTCCTCCTCTTTCATCTCTTCCTCCTTTCCCCGCCTCAATTCCGCCGGCTCTTCTCTCCCCAACCCTCCTCCTCTTAACCGGCCTCTCATCACTTGCACGGCTTAGGGATCCAGAACGCCCTTCCACACCAGCACCAGATTCCGCCAGCATATCGCGATAAACGAGCGGGATCTCGCCGGACGGATCGGGAGCGGCACGTTCCTGGTCGTGTCCCCGGCCTCGGCGCGATCTAGATCCGGATGCCCGCTCTGCCTCTGCCGCCCTGGCTGGCCCACGCACGGGCGCTTTCCCTTTTCCCATCACGCGCGAATGGCGGGATTGTTTTACCATGTTTTTTTTTTTTCCTTCTCTTATTCGATACGTTTACCTCACGCGTTTCGTTCGTTCGACGGTATCGCCTATAGATCGTACGTACGGACCGTTTCTCGTAGTTCAAAAAGGTTAACTGTGATCTCCGTTGGTCACCCTCTCTAACACACACACACACACACCCCACGACGCGAACCGGAAGCTCAGATTCGAACACCCTACCGCTCAAAGCTGGGACCTGTTACTCTAGCAGAGAAAACTAGGTGAACCCGCAGACGGTGAGAGGGCGGGCGGGGGGGGATGGGTCAGTACTTTCGCATCCCAGTTTTCTCAACCCTACCCGTGTCCGCGACACGTCATGGCAGCAGCAGTAGTACTCGGCCTTCTAGCAACCACTCCATCGCCTGGCAAGCCCAGTCAAAAACCAACGCGAGTAAATAGCAAGGCGATTACGATTTTCAACTTCAAAAAGTAACAGTGGTGAGTGTGTGTAATCACAAACGGTACATAAGATCGCAGCGTGGATGACGAGATATAGGCGGGTTCAGGTATATAATTAGACGGATCACGCGAGGGTATTTTTATTTTATTTTATTTTTTTAATTATTTGTATTTTATTATTGTTTGATCCAGCCCTGGTCGGTCAAAGCACATGCAAACCAGGATGGGAACCGAGCCCCGGTGGAGACGAGACGGATGCTGAAGAACGTGCACGATGGTGGAACGAATAATAATAGAAGAGAAGCGGTGGAGATCGAATTGCGAGGGGGGTTGAAGATTGAAGATTGAAGATTGAAGGGGGGGGATAGAATCGGTATCTTCCTCGGGGAGGTCTGAGGTCGGGTTGAACGGCGCGCGTGTGTGTGTGTGTGTTGTAGGCGTGTCCTGTTGTCTTCCTATTTACAAAGTACTCACGCCTTTTCTTTGCTTTGCTTCTGCTCTCTTTGTCTCTGTGCAGGTTCAGTTGTGGTTGCGGCGTCGTCAGAGCATGTTTTTATTGGATGCACGGATCCATACGTGTTGATATCCGTGAATAATGTACTCTGTACGGAGTATGCTGCGTATGGACGCGGGCTAGTTGTTGTCTATGAATATGATGGTGATCGTGATGTGACAAACCTCATATACAGACTAGAGGAGGTTAATTCAGCTCTTTTGTTTACAGCAAAATAACTGTACATTAGTATAATAATGTCTTTACATCACTCTTGTATTTTTATCAGTTTACACACATTTTTATATGCCTCAGTCAAAGGAAGATTTGTTTTTTCTTTTCTTTTCTTTTCTTTTCTTTTTCTTATTTCTTTTTCTTATTATTATTATTTCTTCCAGCCACTCAGCCCACTCAGCCACTCCTTTCAGCCAACGCCGTCATAGCGGCTTTTCTGGCTTGCTTTGGTTCTTCCTCTCCTCCCCGCGAGCGACTAAGAATGCTAGTTCAGCCCGTCTAAGCGAACCGACCATCTTTTTCTTGCAACAGGGGCACGGTCTTATCGCGACTATTGATTGATTATCTCCTGACTGGGCGCGGAATAGATGCTTGGTAGCCGAGAGTAAATAACAGAGGGGACGAGAGGGCAGGGGGATCTGAAAAGGGGGAGAAGGAAGAGGATCGATTTACAAGCATCTATTCTAACCCTTGTCTCATCTTTTAATTAACTGCCTGTAAATTTCGATTGAATTGAATTGCAACAATTTCACGTCTCCCACGAACCAACCAATACGTCAATTTGCCAGGGTTATCTTGCTAAAAACTTCAGTAGAGGGGAGAGAAAAGCACGCGCTTTAGATTTGTCGCTTCCCAAGACGTGGATTTGCCGAGAGCACATGTACACAAGCAGAAACCAAAGAGGTATTCCAAAAATGAAGCAGAAGCAGAAGAAGAAGCAGAGGTAGAAGCAGGAACTAGTATGTAAGTGGAACAATAGAGTAAAATTGATGGTCGTAAATAAGAAAGCATAGAAGATATATTAGGAAAAATAAGGAAAAAATAAATCAGATACAATTAATTAAAAGGTAAAATATCAGCAGGAAATGGGGAATAGAGATTAAGAAACATTTAGGAAACAAATGAAAATAAAAGGAAAAGGGGAAAAGGAAAAAAAGAAGAGAAGAAAGAAGAACAAGAAGATATCTCAAAAATAAACATCAACAACAGCAGCAACGGAGTCTTTCTGTCCGGTACATAAATCCGTGACAGAGACACAGGGGAGGTAAGCCGGCGGGAAAGAGGAATAGAAATTACTGTACCCGTGAACGACACGTACAAAAAGTGTAAAAGGTGCCGGGAGATTTTGGAGGACATAAAGATAAACGGGGTTATGGGATATCAACGACTGTTTGGAAAAAAAAAAAAAAGAAAAAAGAAAAAAAAAAGAGCTAGAATATAGGGGTTGGATGCCGCGCAAACAAGCACAGGGGCATACACATTGACAAAATAGTTTTCGTTCATACATATTTATCCGCTCTCGGAGAAAATACACCTTCGCCCCAGGCAACATCAAACAGGCAATAAGTTGAATAAAAATCAAAGTGAAAATAAAATCCACACCCATCATCCATTATGCACGCATCACACAGTTAGTTTTCAAACATCATCCATCATGAAGGGAAAGGGGCCGCTTGGGTGTATATTACCCCGCCAGCCTCATCTGGCAGTGAAATAATAATAATGGTCCAGGTTGATGTAGGAGGCGGGGCGAGGTGGGGGAGAATGAAAAGGAGATGATAAAAACGGATATCATATCATGCACGGGCGAAGAGTTATGTAGCCGTAGCGAATGAGCGATGCGGTGCGGTGCATGGTGATGAATAGTGATATATGTTTTCTTTTTTTTGGTTTTTTTTTTCCTTTTCTTTGTTTGATCTCATATACGTGTGCTTACGAGGTGGCTTCAACGGCTTCGACGGTCACGTCGGTTACGGGTTTGAACTTGTTGTTGTCGTTGTTGGATGGGGTGGGTGTGCCTGGGGTTGGCGGTGTAGGATCCCGGCCGACTTTGGAAAGCATGTCCACAATTCTACGGCGTTTGGGGTATTGTAGGTTAGATATTGGGACAATAGGAGAGTGTAGGTTGTCGACAAAATGGAAAAGAAAAAGAAAATTCATAAGATGGTATGAGGTATGAGATGAGCTAAAGAAAAGTATTCATAAATAATTGAAAGAAGGTCTCATACCTAGCGTTCTCGTCGAACATGCCCTCGTTTACATCCTCAAGCTGGCGGAGCTGTTCCCGAATGCTGGCCATCTAGAATGAGAGAAGTCTCCAGTTAGCAAACGGATGAATCAAGGTTTCAAATGATTAAAAAGCAAAACACGCCTGCAATAGCTAGCACTCAAGCTCGCAATATTAAACCCAACAAAACACAATTAAGAAGCGGATCAAGAATACCCAACAGCAGGCCGCCAAGAGACGACGACAAGGCCACGCAGAAGTCGGATATCCAAAAACAAAAAGCGCGAGAAAAGCGAACAAAGAGAAATGAAACGGGGCACGCCCACCGTTCCCTCAATAGAAGAACCGAGGTCCTCACCTTCAGTAGTGGTAGGACCAGCGTCTTCTGGCAGTACCTTGGCAGTATCGGCCTGCTCGTCGCCCGCAGCAGGCATGTCATCTTCCTTAACTGCCCATTTGCTATCATCTAGTCCGCTGGAGGATTTCGCGTTCGAGCCGTTGGAAAGATTTGCCGATTCTGGCTTCTTGAGTCTCGATTCGGCGAGTTCGAACTCCAGCTCCCGGATACGTCGGCTGCCTTTGGACATGGATGCTTCGGCTTCGTGTAGTTGTTGGATAAGGGTGATGTTTTTCTCGCTTAGAGTATTCATATCTTCCTCGAGGGCTGCAAATTTGGCTTCAACAGTGCTCTTCTTCTCATCTGAATCACCAGCAGCGGCTTTCAATTCTTCAAGGTCAGCCAAGGCTTGGCTATGTTCTTGGTTCTGTCCATTAAGTTGCTCCTGTAGGGAAGAGGCTTCCTGTTTGACTGACTCAAGTTCCTTGTTTAGGGTGGAGATGGAAGTCTGAAGTGATTCTTCCAGCTCGTGCTTTTCCTTCTGAGCCTTTGAAATTTGCGAAGCATGCTCCTCACCCAACGCTGCAATCTGTGCCTTCAACCCCTCAACCTCTGTCATATAAGCAGCAGCAGCCTCCTTCGCCTTCTCTAACTCCCTCTTCAACTCCGCAACGACAGCAGCATGCGCCTCCTCAACCGCGGCCAATTTCTCCTTCGTCGCAGCTTCATGCTCACTCCTCAAACTCGCCAACTTCTCCTCGTGCGCACCAAGCAACTCCTCAATCGCCTTGGTCTGGCCTGCTTCGATTTCCGCAAGTTTCTCCGCATGCGATCCCTCGGCATCTTGCTGGATCTTGAGTTTGTTATCTTCAAATTGCTGTGTGAGTTTAGCTTCAAGTTCCTGAAGGGCGGTGGCATGTTCGGCTTTGAGGGTTTCGAGCTGGGTGGCATGGGTGGCGTCGTTGGCAATGTTCGACGCGACGAGCTCGTTGTATCTGGCCCGTAGTTCTTTGAGAGCGGAGTCGTTCGATCCGGACAGCTCAGCTCTCAGATCTTCAATTTCTGTGCTGTGAGCGACTGTGAGCTCTGAAAGTGTAGCAGTATGTTTCTCCTCGAAGCTAGCGAGCTGCTCAGTCTTTTCCTTGAGGGAATCATTGGTTTCGTTGACCGCGACCTCCAGCCTTGAAATGGTAGACTTGTAGTACTCATCCTTGTCCTTAGTAGTTACTTCGAATGCCTCAAGACCCTTGCGAAGTCCTTCAACCCGAGCCCTTTCGCCTTGAAGATCGTCATCGAGAGCCTTGATTCGAGTGCTACCTTTGGCGAGCTCCTCTTCCAAGGTCCGTACTTTACCCTCAAGTTCCCGGAGGCTGGCGGAATTGGATTCCCTCTCGGCAGCGCTTGCTTCTTCACCCTGCTGCTTGACCTCTTCTAGCGCCTTTTCAGTTGCGTCTAGTTTCTCCTGTAGAGATTGTAGCTCGGCTGCATGGGCCTCGCTGGCTCCCTTTGCTATATCCTCCAGTTGGGTCTTTGAGCTCGCAACTTCGCCTTGAGCAGCATCGTACTTCTCCGTTAACGCTTTCAGCTCCTGCTGGAGCGAGTCGGTGGCAGTTTTAGATTTTTCCACAGCTTGGGAAAGTTCCTCGGCATGTTCTGCCGTTACGCTAGCCAGGACAGAATCATGCTCGGCTTGGAGTGCAGCCATAGCCTTCTCATGTGCAGTGGTTAAGTCGGCTTGTTTGAGCAATTCTTCGGATTTAGCCTGCTGCACTTCCTTGATCTCATCCTGCAGCGTCTCAATGACCTGGCTTAGTTTTGCAATCTCCTCTTCCTTTTCGGCAAGCTTTTCCAGAGTTTGCGTGGCATCCTCTGCGTTTTCAGACTCGAGTTGTGATAGTTTGGCCTTGAAAGAGTCAACTTGGGCCTGAAGTTCTGTGATGTGCGCGGCAGCCTCATTCGCAGCAGCCAACTCCCGATCCTTGGCATCCTGGATAGTCTGCACTTCGTCCTTGAGACTCTTGATAACAGCGTCACGGCCTTTCAGCTCCGTTTCCAGCCTTAGCACCTGATCTTGATGGGTTTCAAGCGCAGCCTTCTCCTTTTCAGCAGCAGCCTTAGCAGCTTCTTCTAGGCTAGCGGTACGGGTGGCCAGCTCCTCTTTCAGGGTAACAATCTGGGCAGTCAGCTCAGCAGAAGTGTCCCGTTGTGCAGCAAGATCAGCTTCAAGGGCGGCTACTACAGCAGCATGGGTTTCCTTTTGTTGTTCGAGCAATTCGGATATCTTCAAGGCACCTTCCTGAGACGCTAGCTGTCTGGCAGCCTCAAGCTCTTGGACAAATCGAGATTCCGCCTCCGACCTCTGTGACTCTGATTCGCCCAGTTTCGCCTGCAGAGCATTGAGTTCCTCTACATGAGTTTCCGTGAGCTCGAGCACTTTAGCTTCATGTTCAGAACGGATTAGATCTGTAGCAGTGGAGAATTTATCTGCTTCTCCTTCCGTTGGCTTGGTGGCTTCGGATAATTTCGATTGAACATCGTCTAGCTGTGATTGGAGTTCTGCCACCTTAGCTTCGCTGTCTGCAAGTCGAGCTTGGAGCTCAGCAAGCTTGCTTGCGCCGGTGGACTCATCGCCTTCCCTGACAGTATCCAAGCTGCCCTTCAGCTGAGCGATATCACCGTCTATCTCACCCTGAATCTCATCGCGTTTCTCGTCGTTGCCAGCTTCCTCCGCTGCAATTGCTGCCTGCAGCAGTTCACGGAGGGCTTCATACTCCTTGATCTTTTCCTGTAACGCGGCAGACTTGGCAATGAGCTTCTTCTCTACCGGTTTGCCGGTGTCAATGGACGGCTTTTTCGTTGTCGACAAGGAACTCATTCGCCTCTTAGACTCAGAAGTTGTAGAAGCCGTAGATTTCGTAGCAGTACCGGAAATCGGTCTTGTAGTCCGCGAGGTGGTGGTAGGCGCCACTGTCTTGGAAGTAGCGGTAGCAGAAACCCGCGTAGTCGTGGTGGTTGGCTTCGCAGGGCTTTGGGCGGTGGATGGACGACTTGTTGTAGGTCTCTTTTCGGCGGACGATGGGGTAATTGTTGACCTACGTTCCGAAGTAGTTCTTGCGGGTGCTCTAGAAGACACAGAACTTGTGAGAGAGGCCCTCTTCACCGTGGCTGAAATGCCAGCCCGTTTGCTTTCATCCCCTGAACTGGCGATAGATTTGCCTCTCTCATCTGCGGAGCTGCCTAAAGATGCACGTTGTCTATGGGTTGTAGTAGTAGTAGCCGTGGATGCTGGCTTGCGAGCGGTGGTAGACGTCACGGGGGGCCGGGTGGGGGGTCGATTAAGGGTGCTTCCAGTGGTTCCCCTCGTAGTGGCAGAGGCTAGCTTAGAAGTGACGGTTGATGTAAAGCCAGCGGGACGTTTCGTAGCGGTAGTGGTAGCAGTTCCAGGGCGTTTGGGAGCAGCACTTGTGCCAGTCTTCTGGCGGGGGGATACAGCAATTGTTGTCCTCTCCTTTACGGGAGCAGGGCTCGAGGGGATCTGTTCAGCAGGCTCTTCCGCGGGCGGCTCATTTTCATCGGTGGGAGCAGAGGTAGCCACAGTCTCATCAACTGAGGATTCCGGCAAAGAGGGCTCAGCAGCCGGAATCAAAGGCTCTTCCATCGATGCCATGTTATGGGGATTGGAGGGATCTTTGGGTGTAGTTTGTGAGCACTTAATTAGGGGAGGGGGGGGGGGGGGGGGGGGGGTCCAAGCTTGGTCGGGGTACGAGGGGGAGAGAGGGAGTGCAGGGAACAAGACGAGGACAATTGACTGGGACTTTGGGGAGGTTCCCAGTCAGAGCCAGTACATAAGGGCAATGGTTGGAGGAGGATGAATTTGAGGGCGGTGGATAGAAGAGGGAATAGCAGAACAAGAAGAAGAGGAGGAAGATGAAGAGGAGAGAGGAGAGAGAAGGAGAAAAAAAATAGGGTGGAAAAAAGGGCGAGAAACAGCAGCTTGGACTACAAAGTACGGATTAGTGTCAGCGCCAGTCACGGGAGGCGCAGAGGACAGGAAGGAAAAAGCAAAGATGGGATGGGGATATGTAACTAATGGTTTCTTGAGGATAAAATAAAGAGAGAATTTCAACAGAATCACTGCATGGACAGAGAGATTATGGATGATAGTTACAGATTTACAGATGGTTCAACCGGATGTGAAGGGTTTGTTACAATAATAGTGAACTTAATGTTGCAGATATTTAATTAAGAGCCTATTTATTATTCTCATCAACAAACAACGGCGGATAAAAAAACACACAGGAATAAAAGCAGCTTCTTTCTACAAGCAAAGGCAATTGATCTATCTGCAATTGTTGTGCAAGTTGAGGTATCCCAGCAAGGCTTTGGGAATATTCCATCCGAGCCATCCATCACTCCACCCTCCCTCCCTACGTCGGTGGGTGTGCTAACTAGTTAAGTAGTTATTTAGTTGAAGTTTAGTTAAAGTAGTTAAGGGTCTATTGATTCAGACCAGCAGCTTCATTTCTGCCAGCCCAGACAGAGACATCTACTAGTATTCCCCCGAGTGGTATCAATCACCATCATCATCGCCCCTGAGTACGTACCTGAGGCTGCCAGCACAAAAATATAACCCTCGATCCATCTCAAAATCCAAAACAGAAGAAACACCAAATAAATAAACACCAAACAAGCAACCATCCATGGTTCCTGGTAGGTAGGTAGCAGTCAACCAGACAAGCATGGCCCTTGGAACCAACTAAACCCGCCCGCCCAAAAGGCTAATTCCCCATCCATACGCGGCGTAAGTCATCGGATCTGATAAAATGTTCACACCACCTGAATGCCTTTGGGCCGCAATTTCATCTGCATCGCAACATCCTTACATGCTGGCCGCAGCGGGGTGAAATGAAGATAGCGAATCGCGGATCAACGCCTAGCATTCCTCTCGGGTCCCCTCACCCCCGCTCAGCCGAGCGGCTTTCGTGATCCAACAACGGTGACCAACGCAGCAGCAACTACCTGTATGGTATGTACGCACAGTATGTACGTACGTGCATGTGCGGAACTCCATCAAACTAAAAGGCATAATCGTGGCACCAACCGATGACCCCAGATCTTCGCCGGGAATGGGAATGGGGCGCGCGGGAGTGGGGGAAAGGCAAAATTCGGCAATTTATACTCCGTCCAGACAACCATAATTGATAACTACCTAGAGGATGCCCCTGCTAAATTATAATAGGTCAGTAATTGACTTTTCATTGATTCATATTATGTGTTAAAAAAGAATGAATGAATGAATGAAAGAATGAAAGAAAGAAGAAGAAAGAAAAAAAAAAAAAAAAAAAACTGGAAAGATTATACACTCACTGTATGAACAAGTAATCTCTGTTACTGACAGTAGTAGATAATGAGAAGATACAGTACTGTCACTCTCTACTCTCTACTGTCAACTTTATGAGAGTGTTATACATAGTGTATTAATCTGAGGATGCTTTCACTATCTCGACTGTCTGAAGTCATCTTCCTTTATTCTGTTCAGAGATTTCAATTCATTTGGTTGAAACTATACTATAGAGCCCCCCCCCCCCCCCCCCCGGTATAGAGACTCTCAGATATAGAAACCCCCAGGTATAGAGACCCCCTGAGAAGAGAGACTGGCCTGGGTATTGAGACTGTCCCAGGTCTAGAGCCCTCCACTTATGTAGGTAACTATTTCATACAACCTTCAATGAGGAGATCTTGATTGCTAATACTCCGTACTCCGTTCAATCAGTATCATTGATATGTGCTCAGTGTAACACTATAAAATACCCATTAAAATAATTTGACCCATTTGTCACTAATAGGCCCCTTCTCGTCATTATGCCAGTGACCACATCATGTAGTCCCTGACCTCTTGTCACCATTCTTCTGCCACTGTGCCTCTGGCCTGATTGGACTTCAACTGCCGAAAAAAAAGCAACTCCAGGCAAGTATTAGCACAGTAATGTGATTGATTTCCTTCTCTGCTAAACAAATTGTGATGGCTCAGATTGAGGCTCAAAGACGACGTGAGACAAGTCGGATTGGGTATCGAGATTGGAATCCCAAGTTGCTTGCTTTTCCAGCGCTGGAATCTTGCAAGGTCCCTGCGATGCTTGCCATATCGATGTTCCAGTTGCGGAGAGGTAATATAATAGCCACTACTTACTGTGCTTCAGCAATAATAGATCATGTGGGAAGTGAGGCTGTTGTAAAATCGCACTCTTGATTCAGAAACAGGTTTGAGGCAAGCAGGACTCTTGCATCTCACACAGGTATATAAGAGGCGAACGGCATCCCCCATAGCGAGCGAAATCACAAGGATAGGGAGAGTTTATCAAGTTGATAGTCGTGAACAATGACGGGGCGGTTTTCACACCAAGCTTATTTTATATATTTAAAATGTATTTTAGTTAGTGTGTGGAGAAAATCTACATCAACCATCATTCTCTCCTTCCAACTTAACATCACGCACCCCATACCCTTTGCAAAGCACGCAAATGTTGCCGGTGACACTTACTTCTGTGTGCATGTGGAATAGCTGTGCTTGTTGTTGACATGGTCGCAGACATGCAAAATCGGCTTGCATCAGAGCTGGCAGACATTCTCAACATTATTAGATTGAAGATGCAGATGTACTGTACATGTACATACATGTACATACCATCCATGCATATGAATGGGCCTCTCACGCTTGATTGCCCTTCCCCGCGGCATCATCACATCGTTGCCGGTGAGAGAGAGAGAGAAGAAGACATATGGTTTAGAAACGCAACGCCCAATGAGCTTGGCTTCACGGCTGCACTTGTTTGAAAATATTCAATCCCATCATTATTTGTCTGCTATTGGTATGGTATGGCGGGATATCACAGCTGTTGAGAGCATGAATTGGAGTAAGGCGCTCCGGCAACCCCTCATGTTAACCGGCCTGCCGCTACTATCCCGGAACCCCGCCGCTGGCGATTCTGTCGCACTTGAACCCCCTTGTTTATAGCTAATAGCGCGGGATCCTCCCATCTCGCCAGGGAGGGAGACAAGTATCCACCTGGTCTGAGCAGACCCGGGATGGAGTGATTTGGTGGTATATATAACTAGTTAGCTATAATATCTAGGTCAACTAACTTATAGCTCCGCAGACCTCCCAACACTAGGGAGCATATACTCAACCACACCCTCGGAATATAGTTAGTTACCGACAAAAACACCCCCTACGAAACGATCCATATCAATCAAGAACACAACACAACAATGGCCTCCACCCTTCTGCTCGACCCGCACAAACTCCTCCGCATCGGCCCCCTCCTCACCGCAACCGCAACCCTCACCCTTGCCAACGACCAAAACCTCCCACCTATCCCCCTTCCTCCACCCCTTCCACCGCGACAAAGCCAACGCCCTCCCCCCCAGCTAAAGAGCCCGTAATGACCTTGCATTATTCAATAGCTTGAAGTGGTGGTCGAATTTACTTTACCCTATACTCCTTCGAAGTACGCCAAAATACTTCCTTCGACACCTCTTCTCTCATCCCTGGGACCGAGAACCGCATCGAATAGGGCTCGTCCGTCAATCAATGAATTTGGATTGACACATATTCTTCCATCCAATCAATTCAATGCTCCATCGCTGCCCTCGAAACCATCGATCTTCAGATCAGTTAAACCGAAGAGCAGCGGGGAGAACAACATTTGTATTTCAGACGTAGGAGTTTTGCGAACTAGCTATTTTTTTTAATGATTGTGCGGAACCAGGGGTAATCGCACGATAGGTTACACTTCTAGCATAGCCTATGAATGTTGTAATACGTGAATAGTGACTCTTTTTCAGGCTCTGCGCCAAGCTGTTCGGATGAGGGATTGACGTCTGAGAGGGCAAGCGCGGAAATAGTCATCCATGGATAGTGCCGTTACTCGTTCCATAAGCCTTAGGGAAGATGCTTCAAATCATAGCACGGATAAAGTAGGATCTCGACGGGAACACCTTCGCAGGCAGCATACACCAGGTCGACATGGGCGAAGCTATAGCGATGTGTATACTCCATTACACATAGAACATATGCAAGGAAATGTCATTTTCCGTAAAATAAATACCGAACTGATGTAAAGGTACATGTACTAGTTTCACTCAAACTTCCAAGAGCCAACCCCATTGTCGCGGGTCCATGGTAAGATTATCAAGCCGCACCGCAGCAACATATGAATCTCGAATCTCCCGCGCCTTCACGCGCAGGTCTTCCATGGTTCGACCGCTCAGCTCTGTCCTGAAGTCGCGACGTATCATGGTATACCGATCGAGGCCTGTTGTAGAAATTGATTAGTATGCTGTAAATGAGGTTGTGGTTGGCCTACGCGTCCCAAAATAAGAGCACAGTACCTCGATATCTCTCTAAACCGGTAACAAGCGCTTCGCTCTCTGCCGTCGTCCAGGGAAACTCGTCTGGACCCTCAGGTAGCTGTTCATTTGACGAGTTTTCATCAATAGATATGATGGAAACATGATCATCCTGCTCATCATCTGTCGGCGGCAGGGTTACTTCTTGGCGATGCGGGCGCTTGTATTGCATGCTTCGACGAGGCCCAACCCATTTCTGATGAATGTTGTTAAATCGTTCCAGTCGCCGTTTGGTCAGTAGCCGGTTCGATTGGCTATCAAAAATCGTCCACAAGAAACGAACCACGACTCTGATCTGCTGGAGAGTGTCTCCGAAATGGATGTATGGCCGGAAAAACTTGGGCTGGATCCTTTCGCACAAGAGGGAAAATGATTGCAGCAGCTGTGTCAACTGTTTCATTCCGTCAATGGAGAGCTCATTATCGATGTAGTGTGCTGCGAGGCATAATTTCAATAAGCTTACTACTCCCGGTACAGCATAGATAGCAATCTCAAGGACGGCTTGCCGTTTTCGCTTCAGCTCACGATTGTCGCTAACAAGGTTACCCTTCTCATCGAAAACTAGACGGACTCTAGACAAGATGTGATATATTTGCTCTACGACCTCCTGGGCATTGGATTTTTCTGCTTCGCACAAGTAGTCCGGCACCGTTTGATAGTCCTGTCGAATTTCTCTTGTTCGGGCGTAGAGTTGCTTGGCTTGTGTGATTGCTGCTAGAGGTTTACGTAGAAGAGGGCTCCTTTGTGTGAGGTTGGGACTCGGGATGAGCTTTTTGACTTCTGCAAAAAGATCGGACCAGTTGGTATGTTGGCCAAAAAGCGCGGCGGCAGACCAAAAGTCTACATCATCAGGATCTTGCATAGGGACCTCCTCAACATCCGTTTCTCCAGACTCGGATTCCATTTCAGATCCATCCTCGAAATCACAGATGTCAGAGACGCTCTCATGCTGGCTTTGCACTTCGTGATCTGATTCATTGTTTTCGCTTCCGGTCCTAATTTGAACGTCATGCTCAGACGCACTGTGAGGAGCGATCCGATGCTCATTCTCGGTATCGACATCTCCACCTTCTTCGCATGCGTTATTCTCAGGGCTTTCAGGCGGGGATATAACCGCACGATTTCCGGCTTGTTGAGAGTCCTCATGCATTGGATCTTCCCCGGCCGAAGAAACATCACTGCCGTCCCCATTCTCCGACTCTGTAGCTCTGCTCTGAGGCGGTGGAGACGAGTGGGGAGGCTCGCCTGCTTCAACGCTGTCTAGCATTTTTTTCATTAGTCTGGTTAATGGTCGTTTACTCCCAGCAGATTTAGGCGAGCTAAACGCCTGCTCTGACCTTCGATGAGATCTGAAAAGTCCATACGACGGGTGCGAACGCAGCACTCTTAACCGGGATGAACGCCGCGGAGTGCTGAGACTTGGGGGTGGTTCTGCATATTCAGTTTGTTTCAGTCCTCTGTTTCCGGTATACTCTTTGACTTCCTCTTCACTTCTGTAATTCTCATCATGTTGATCTTCATCTGCACTTTCTTCCTCTTCAGACCAGGAGTCGGACCACTCTCCACTAGCTGAAACTTTCTCATCGTCTCGAAGGTTCGTTACATTAGGTCCTGCACGATTAGACCGATACGCTGCCCTTGAATCGCCCTCTTTATCTAGCTCGCTATCGAAATCATTAAAAGTCCCAGTTTTTGGAATAGAATGCCGCCCCACATTACGAGTGAAGCGTTTCAGAGGTTTAGGTGTATTAGGAATAACATAGGTATCTTTTCGACCACGATTGTTGCGGGCTGTTTTAGTAGCCACTCGCTTCGCTCGTTGTGGTCGTTTCAATTTGACCGACTCGAATGGACTCAGTGGCTTCGCATTGTTCTCCACCAGTGGGGGCGACGGATCACGTAACACCTCAGAATCCTGTCGCTTGCGTTTACCAATAGCGGAATTCGCGGGGATGTTTTCGCGGTTAGACGAGGCATCATCGTCATCGTTTTGTTGGGTCGTCCAGATTGACCGTAAAAGCTCCACTGAGAGCTGAGGTCCGGGGCCTTCATCTTCGTACCTTGAATCCATTGTGGTGAGTAATGAGTGAAAGGGCGAGGTTTCTTGGTAACTTCACCCTGTGTGCTTATTAAAATGCCATCTTCCACCGATGCCTCATAAATTGCAATTCCGGTGGGGTGACGTTTGTTGGCTTGGGCAAGCCGTGAGTCCTAGGGAGCGCTTGGGAAGCTCTCTGTGTCGACGGGTTGGTTGATGTTGCGGGCTCAAGCTCAAGACGGGAACTAGCACGTGGTGCTCGATTGGGTAAATTAGCCGCCAACTCGTCGCCGAGCTCTGCCGCGCGACTCGGAGCAACAAGCAGCACCTCTTCATACTGGCTGAAATACATTATCCAAAGAATGGCCGCATCAACTACAGAACCCCCGGAAGATGTTTTAGAGAATGAATATGAACACTTGTGTTTTCCACGATATCGCATTATGTGCAATGCGGCAGACTTCATTCCCAACCCATCTAAACACGAATGCACATATCGAAGCTAGTCTTGTACAGTGCCGCGGCGACATAACTCAACCTGAATGCGAGTTTTGCATAAATGGACGTGAGCCCTTTCTCCATTGCGTTAGTCTTCAAGGATACCTGAACGTCTCCTGCGCGAATTTTTGCTACTTTAGCACTGATGCACGCTGTAAGCTCTGGACGGAAATGTGATAGGTTCTATAGCTGTTTTTTACCTTAAAAGAGGGAACGAACTAATTCGTCTTTGAAATACAAATCCGGACTATTTGGGGGGCTGAAATCATGAGATGGTGAGCTACGATGAAATACGAAAGGCGGGAACTGATTCTGCGCTTCCCGGCCTCAGACGCATGCGAAAGGGACACGCATCGGAGAGCTCTATAGCCTCCGAGTCAAGATTACTAAAGAGTCTGGCTGAATTTCAACCTCGAATAGGCGCAGTCTCAAAAGCCAATAATTGCAAGGGACTTGTCAGTACCCGGCAAAGCAACTTCACGGACTGGCATAGGATTCAACTTGGGGTAGCATGGCTGCGGAGAATCCACTTTGTCCGCGAAAGAAATGGCGAAGGGGCTGAGAATACAGCGAAAACCCAGTACTGTTTTGCAAACTTCTCAAGCACATTTGGCTAAACTGCTCGCGTATGAAGCTGGGTTTGAACCCGACGAAAATCAGGATGAATCTTCAAACTCAGAAGATGATTCAGAATCCGGAGAAGATTCCGATCAATGATCTGCCACCATCGTTATTTTCCGCTTCCCTATTTTATTTTACAGCCCTATCTGCTTCATCTAGGTTTCTCTATCTAACCCTTATCCCCGGCAGAACCTTTGTCACACGAGATATGAATGCACCGATGGCATCATCATTCTCAACGGGGAAGGCTAACGTTATTCAATTAAGGGCGTAGGTTTATATAAATAGGCGCGTACCCCGTACTAGGGGACATGGGTTTATTTGTGTATCCATTATTATCGTTACTGCTCTGACATCATCGCCATACAACTCTTTGCTTAACAGTTTACAATTGGTTTATGCTTAGATAGGTAATGCATATTCAACTCGTATTACATAGAAAATTGAAATTCTTTTTACATAGTAGGGTGATATAGAAGACCTATAAATACTAAGGGCGTGTTCGGTTGCACGGTTAACCTCCGTTAACCTCTGTTAAAAAGGTCCACTTAACAGACACCCGCGGTATTGAAATTACCTTGCAACTGAACACGCCCTAAATGTAATAATACTTAGGAACCTCGATTGTTCTTAACTTTAACTAGCTTTAGCCTAATCTTATGATGACATGGTTATTTCATAGGTTTTGTCACCGCACCACGCAAACTAATCATCCCTACATCCCCACTTCAACAGCAGAACATATGACAATCCTCAGTATATTACAGTTAATCATCACACTCTAGGACATTAGAAATTGGGAAAGTCGGAGAGCAGAGAGCCATCCGTGTAGCTAATGCTCTTGTATCTTATCCCGCCTCACTACGACCGCAATGGCCGCAGAAGCTTCATTCTCCACCCCTTACCTCCAACACCTAGACCCCTCGCAACCACATAACTTCGAACTCCCTTCCAAGAAGATCAACGAGGGTAACGATGTATCCACATTCCTCACCTCCCTCGCCTACAGGGATATCATGACCTTCATCCTACAGCTCAATCGCGCCATGGTCCCTTCGAAAATAACGGAGGATGGCTCTCAACATGTGCAAACCTGGCCCCTCAACTGCGATGCGGTTGAGTTCTCAGAGCCCGTTCGTCGTCTGCAGTTATTACTCTCGAAGATAGACTCGATAATCGATGAGGTACCCCCGGATACGGGACCGAGGCGTTTTGGAAATGTCAGTTTCCGCAAATGGTGGGAGGAAGTGGAAAGACGGGCGCCGGAATTGATGGATGAATGTTTACAGCCTGAGGTGCTGCGGCAGGGAGCGCAAGGCCCCGATTCGGTATCTGCGAAGGAGGAGCTTACGACGTATTTTCTAGGGAGCTTTGGGAGCCAACAGAGACTAGACTATGGGACAGGGCATGAGTTGAGCTTTGTGGCTTTTTTGGGTTGTTTGTGGAAGCTCAACGGGTTTCCGAAGGCTGGGGCGGGCGTGGAAGAAAGGGGGATTGTTTTGGGTGTGATTGAACCGTATGTTACTCTCTGATAGGGATATATGCGTTCTCTCGATTCCTATTGAAAGAAAAGTATACTGACTATTACATATCTACCCGTGTAGGTATCTTGAGTTGACTCGACGCCTGATAAGGACATACACCCTCGAACCCGCAGGCTCACATGGCGTCTGGGGCCTTGATGACCATTCTTTTCTTCCTTATATCCTTGGATCTGCGCAATTATCTCCTCCAATATCAGAGTCAGACCTTACCCCTACTGAAGGCTCATTACAGAACTCCCCGGAGCCAGCTACTGTCGCAAAAGCGAATATAGTCGAGAAGGAACGGAAAAATAATATGTATTTTTCAGCTATTGGTTTTATATACGATGTGAAGAGGGGTCCATTTTGGGAGCATAGCCCAATGCTTTACGATATATCCGGGATTCGAGATGGATGGGGGAAAATAAATAAGGTATGGGCCTATCCAATATCTCTTTGGTAGCCTGACAATCATGGCAATCGGGCTTAGCTAACACGGAATTAGGGCATGATCAAAATGTACAATGCCGAAGTCCTCTCCAAATTCCCTGTCGTCCAACATTTCCCCTTCGGTTCCCTTTTCCGTTGGGAACATGATCCCACAGCCGTGACAGTACCTCCATCCGTCCACCTTTCGAACCGGCCGGAAAGGTCAGGCGAAATGGCCTCTCCACCCCCCATCAATCCCGCCACAAGGGGATTTCAAGGCACGAAAGCTCCTTGGGCAAATCCGGCAGGCGGCATGGGCGGGGGTGTGGGTTCTACCGCCCCTGGGATGTCCGCACCCTTCGCGGCGGCGCAGCTTGGAACTAGACCTTTGCGTGCTCCACCAACTGCTATGACCACGGCGCCATGGAGCAGTAATCGAGATCGAGAGGCTGCGGGACAGTTCTCAGCGCCTAATTCGCAGGCACCGACGAAGACACCTTGGGCGGGGGCGAGTGGAGGGCAGGATGCAGGATCAGAACATCCCATTTAGGGCGAAGAAAGATCCCGCTGGTGGGCAATGATGGTCTGCACTGCAATTTCCATTCTGGATGCTGCGGTGGTCGCATCTCTACAAGAGGTATAAGAGGAGAGGTACAGTTTTATTACGTGGAGCGTTTGAAGAAAACTATAACAGCTATGAACCTTTCCATAAATGAGTAAAACGTTTGAGGAACGAATTCATGTAAGATAGACGATGTGAAATAAATCAATACGGCCCGACTATGCGTAGATGAATAGAACGAGCCTTGAACAAACTGTTATACATATCTGCATTTCATAATTCGTTGATCTAAATATACATTTTCCAATGCCAAAAACGCCAGTGGGTATCTCATGAGTCAAAGGAACATAAACAAGAGACAATGTACAGTTTATGTCAGAAAAAATGAGGAAAGAAAAAAGGAACTGATCACACGCAGGTTATTCGGAATCATCCGACCACTCATATCCCACCAGGGGTATGGCTGACATTACTTGTCGTGGAGTGGACGTTTCCGTATCTGCGCCTGTAGCCATTAACTCCCGCGGCCTATTGCCGTTCACTGCAATCGACATATCGCCACTATCACCATCCTTATTCTCGATACCATCGCATTTCCGGCGTTCTTGCGACCTATCCATATCCCCGGGTGGCACCACAGCTGCGGATCCGTTCGTCTTCCGCCGCTTAACCCCAGGCGTCCAGTCCGAATTATCATCCACCAAAAAGGGATCAACAGCGGCCCTCGTATTTCCACTTAACTCCTTCTGCAGCAACAACTTCCGCTCCGCCGCGATGACCTCTGGTTTTTTGGACCGCTTCTCCTTCTTTCCCCGCCCTCTACACGGCGGAGTGGCCGGTAGCGACTTAGTCTCAAATAGTGGTTTTGAAATCACACGCCGCGCTACCGCTCCGCCCACAGTATTATTTCCGGCGGGGGCAAAATCCACCATGCCCGCCCTCACTCGATCCCCCTCCGATTCTTCCAACAACTCGATCCCCAAACTCATCCGGTCCTGCAAGGCTTCTGTGACCCCCTGCGCAGTCTCCCTCCGTTTCCTTTCCGCCCGAAACACCCTCCGCAGTTTCCGCGATTGTTCGTATGGATCCTCCCAGTTACGTTCCTGCTTTTTCCTCAACTCTTCCATGCGTGCCTTCTCTGTCATAAAGCGGTTCTGATCCGCGACCTTCCCTTCCAGTTTCGCAAACGCGTCCTTCTCCGCAGACTCCCCCGCGACAGCACCGGGAGGTATCCGTAACGTAATTGCACCATCTTCCTCATATCCGCCCTTGTCTAACTCGCCTGTATCCCTCCTCCGTCCACCCTCCGTAACCACATATGCGGTGTTTTTTGGGTCAGTCCGGACCTCTATCCAACCGCCGCAAACCGTATGTTTCATGCGGAAGCTGTAGATGGGGGTTGAGTAGTAGTTCCCCACGCGCTTTTTCAGTGCGTTGAAGCGCACGCCCTGCCCGATTAACACGCTGTCGGCGGGTTTGCATGTCGAACACCAGACCGCAAAGGGCATTTCGAATCGGACGGTGAGTTCGCCAGTTGTATGTAGGTTCCGGGCGCGGGAACCTAGTGGGTGCCTGTTGGCAAGCTTGTTGCCAGTTGTGAGGCCTTCTTGGTCCGGGGGCACATAGCTGGATTATGCATTAGTCCAGATTCGATTGGGGACCAGTGTGGGAGGGAGGGGAGGAACGAACTAACCGTCCCATATCTAGGTAGTTGCGTTAGAAACTAGAGCATATGCCTATCTGAAACGGAATGAATTAAGAAAATAGGGGGTACAACGTACTGAAGCCCTGCATTTTGGCGGGGTGAGCTGCTGAGCTGCCTACTGTAGTTATCGCTGAAACAAACGTTCTTTTTTACCCCGCGTAAGATAGATATAATAATCGACCTGCGGTCACCCTGGAAATGACGGCACGGTACGGGAAAGGTATAAACATGAAGGCTAGAAATAAAAAAGGACTCTTGAGCGAGCACTCCTTCAATTATAGAGAGCTAAGTATTGCTTGAAGTGTGTATATACTCTGTAGACCAACAAAGCTTGCCAGAGGCAAATGTGGTATCACGTGCAGTTTTCTGATTACTTAATCAACTTTTTTTTGCCCCAAGGTGACAAAAGTTAACTAGTTAACTACATCAGAAGGCGTTATGAACCTCATCCCTCATCATGGATGGACTCTGTTGCCTTTCCACCATGTTCGGGGGCAATGGCAACTGGCAACTCCCGGTAAAAGCTCAAGCGGTAGCTCTAGGGGAGAAATAAGAGCTTGAACATGGAAAGCGAGATGGCGGGCGGGTTATTGTTTACAAACATCCGAAAACTACAATATCCACTCATAATACTTTGTTGTCCAGTCTTCCCTCGGAATGACGTGAATTGAGAAGACGTCGATGCGTGGTGTTTTTTATATTTATCCTTGTATGGATAACTAGTTAAGTTATTTAGTTACTTTGCCCAAGAACAGCTCAAAATGGACAAGCTCCCGTCAGAGACGGTTGGGCTTATTGTTAGATGCTTGTTACAGCCTGAAAACGGCAGAAAAGCCGCCAAAATCGCGTCTTATGCTGGTATATCTCGTGCCTGGCAGAATGCAGTGGAACTGCAGACGATGCGTTCGATTATGGTTCGGAGTTCTTCAGCTGAATGGGAAATGTTTCGCCAGATTTTTATCGGTCTCCGTCGCCGGAGCATACTCTCGGAGTTGCTCTATTCTCACCCTACGGTTCCCAGGTGTTACCAGACAGGATGGCCAGGTGCGCTGCTTCCGGAGATGCTAGAGGATTGTTCGATTGATAGGCAACAAGAATTAGATATGGACTTTGAATTGGCGGTACGGAATCTGTTTGGCTTTCTCAGGGAATGGGAGGATGAGTTTGTCGCAGCCAACATAACCCACCGGGCTGCCCCCCTGACTTTAAGAATCAACCCTGTCTGGAAACCCCAAACGCTGTTGATGTTGAAATTCCAAGGACAGGAGAGTTTGCCAACCCTTTATAGAGTGAAGTGTTTAATCATCCATAGTGTGCATCCCACAGCTTTCCTCAAAATCGCAAACTGCCTTAGCAACGTTACGAACGTTTATTATTTTGTTTGGACGATGAATTTCTCAGTTCTCAGAACCAGTATTCAAGATTTCAGATCATGTGTGTACCTCTTATTGGTTCTGATCCATGATTGACAAGGTTATTGACATTGCTTCTTCTCAGCTCTCAGTATGGCATTACGAAAACTTTCCTTGCCTAGCTTGAAATCCTTTCACGTTGGATGTTCCGGTCGGTCCCTTCAAAATCATAATTTGGACGCTCCAAGCTGGAATGGAAATCATCCCATTGACCTACTCTCACTATCCCTGGCCCTTTTCATGCATGTGCATCACTTAACCGAGATCGAACTAAGATTTTATCCATGGGGCTTGTCACCCGAGTTGTTCTGCCCATTTTCACCCTCATTTCCTACCAGCGTAACTCAACCAAAACCATCATGGGTCAACCTAGAACGGCTTATGTTAACTTATGGGAACTTGCATCCTGGGGGAAAGTGGTACTTGATAGGCTCCCCGGAATTAGCACCTTTTGATTTGTACGAGGATTCCGAGGATTCCGAGGATTCCGACAATGGGAGTGTTCTGGAATACTTCGAATGCCCTCCATATCAGTGGCGCTGGTTGTTCTGCCCACGTACCTTTGATCCTCTCGTACGTGCAATGAGTCGTGCTGTCTTACACATGCCCAGACTCCGACAACTTAGCTTCACCCTCTCCTGGAGCGGTCATTTGATAACAGAGCAGAGTCTCCACATAGAGTTTCTCATGCCAGGAGAGACTACTGCTGTTCAACCATGCTATGACTCCATAGTGGCATTCGACCGTCAGTACGTTGGTTGGATACGCTGGTACTCCTGGATGATCATCGTACGGCCTGACGATCGCGATATGGGTGTCGTTTGGCAGATCCCCCGGGATATTAGGGAACTCTGGTGGGACAAGGTTGGGGTAGAGCGCAGGGGACTGATTGCGTGGGGAACCAAGGGACCGAATGCGTACGAGAGAATTTCTGCTTCATTTTCGCGGAATGAATGAATCCTGTTGAGCATGACGTGGTGGGCCATCGCTCTACTCTTCCCGGTAGGGAAGTGTTGGCACTCCGAGCTGTGCACAGTGATACTCAAAATAGGAAAAAGAAAAAAAGAAAAAAAGGCACGGGGCGGAGGAGATACAACTCAACGGATATTAATACTCTGTTACTCTGTTTTATTTATAACCAGCGTTTTCAATACAGACTCAAAGGAGCCTATTCTCAGGGACTAGACCATGGAGTGATAGAGAGAGCCAAAAATGAAAATAAAGGTAAAGAGAAGGGAACGAAACCAAAAGGTAGAAACCTTCCATTTAGCAGCCCAGATGTTAGATAGAACATCGGTAGTTACCACCCTGTAACCTTGCCGATTGCACCGTTAAAATTATACAGGCAACGCCTTGGGTATGATTTCTATACAACCATGGTTATATACAATTATACCGGCAGTGTGGGTTAAGGCCACATTCGGTCGAAGAGGTAGAGACCGAATCTAGTATCTTTTGAAGTAAGGCTTGGTATATTGACAGAGCACAGGAATGAGTATTATCAATCCCTGTTCAATCTATCGCGAGCGCCATTAGGTTAAATAAACTACTGCGTCTCCATTCTAGCATCCCTGCACTCACCACCGCCAACCTCGCACACCACCTTCAAGTCCTCCACGCTCTCACCAACCCACAACTTCGCACCCTTGGCCATTTGCGGAATCTGCCAGTCCTGCGTGGTAACGTCCCAAACACTCATATCCCTCCGCGTAATCTCAAGACATAGAATCTCGCTCTCGCCCGGCTGCAGCACTCGTGTTTTCTCAAACTGTCTTAGCTGTAGCTTGGGTGTATCTGCCGCTCGCTCTGGTGGCGGCTGCACATACAACTGTGCCACAGAGCGCCCGGCTACCTTGCCTGTGTTGGTGACTTTGACGTCGACTTTGAATGCGATGTCCCAGAGGGCTGGGTTGCCGCCCTCCCGCCCTCCAGCGCGCGGGGGCGGTTGGGGCGTTGTGCTGTACCCTTCCGGGTATGGGTAATCCTTGCCTGGCTTGATGGAGGAAGGGTCATCGAGGTATGGGTATAGGTAGCGCCAGATTCGGTTCAGACCCTTTGGCCACGCTGCTTCGGCTGCAGGCGGGATGTCGTTGGAGAATGTTGGAGGGGAAAGTTTAGCAGGTCTCTCTGGGGGGTATTCGGTGAGCGGTGTAACGGGTATGAGTTTCGGCTCGCTGAATTTGAACGCTGTGTATGAAAGCCCGTGACCGAAGGGGTATCGCGCGGTGATGTTTTCCTTGACGAAGTGGCGGTAGTCGATATACAAGCCTTCGGTAAATGTATCTTGGATCTGGATTATAGGGTCATATATGAGATTGACGCTGTCTGGATAGTCGGCTTCGGATTTCGGAATCGTGTACGGCAGATGGCCGCTGGGGCTGTGATCTCCGAAGAGAATATCGGCAATAGTACCTGCTTCCTGGCCTGGGAGATGGGCAACCAACACTGCTTTCACCGATGGGAGATCGATCCATTTCTCCATGATAATTGGGCCAACGGTGTGAACGACAACAATCACAGTCGAGAACTTCTTCGCCGCATCCATGACAAGCTTGTCACCACCATGCCAGGCATATAGACCCGCCATCGTCCGGTCTCCTGGATTTCCTTCAACGATAATGTAGTTCTCGCCAGAATCCGAATTGATGAAGACAATTGCAATATCTTCAGGCTTCACGTCTATAATGAGGGGGAAACGATTGCTGATGTGAAACTTTGTCTTCGGGGCTCTGGCCTCGATGCCTTCTTGAGGAGTTACAAGGTAAGGAACTCTGGCTGTTCCACTTCCCCATCCCATCGTTAAGACACCCCTGTTGCAACCTCTGTCTGGACAGGGGTTGAGCCCCAGTGGATCGGGACCCGCGTCGGTGCCAAATACCCTGATTGAAGAGTCCGGGTTCAAGGGGAGAACATTATCATCATTTTTTAGAAGGGTAATACCATCCCTAGCAACGGCTCTCGCGATGGTATTGTGGTTCTCTTGGACGTCGACGAATTTGTTGACGATGCCGATTGGAGAAAATACAGCGCCAGGGTGCAGAAGCCCCTTTTCAGCAGTTGTGTGGGTTGAGAAGTTTGGCAATGGAAAGTCCTTGTCCTGCCCTAACTTGAACCATGTAGCAACAATCCGGGTAGCCTAATCCCAAAGTTAGTTACCGAGCCTGGGGGTTATGACCGTCGCGCATGCAAAGTACGGGTATATGAGGAAAGGAGAGAAATCAGCCAACGTACCATATCATTTAACCGCTCTAGGGGTACAGTCCCATTTAGGACCGAACGTGACAATTCGCCTGCCCAATAACTATGCCCTGATAATGGAGAAGCACCATCTCCTGGCATAGCCATGTCCAGGCCAGCAAGTGCGGATGAAACGCCTCCAATATGGGCGAACCAATCAGTCATAGTGAATCCCTGGAATCCCAATTCATCTTTAAGAATGCCGTTGATCAGCTTGCTGTTTTGGCTGGATGAGGAGCTGTTAACCTATAGGATAAAGTTAATACCATCTACTGAACTAAGAAGTTTCCCTCGTTGTTGGAAGTTGAAATGAAGAAAATGGTCGTACGTCATTGTATGCCATCATAACGGAACCAACCCCCGCTTTGACAGAGTCTGCAAAAGGCCAGAGATACAACTCGTGCAGCGTCCTGTCATCGATATTGGCCGAGTATGGTTTCTGGAGGAAGTCCAGGGGCTGAACAGGGAACACCATACGAAACATCTCCTGCTCGTTTCCGACAAGATGCTTCACAGTCGCGATCACTCCCCTGCTTTGAACGCCCTTGATTGTCAGGGAACTGGCGATTCCCTGAAGGGATGGATCCATGCCGAATCCTTCCCAGTTCCGTCCTCCGCGTGGCTTGCGGCCCAGTGGACCTACAGATGGACCAAGGTGGACATTTACCCCTTTGCCACGAAACTCCCTGCCCATCGCAACACCGCGGTCGTACATCAACTTCTTGTCGAATGTGGCTCCCACAGTGATTCCTGCTGGGAAGGCTGTGATGTGATCTGTATTTCGGACACCAAGGGGGCCGTCCTGCAGACAAAGCCTAGGGATTCCGAATCGAGGTGCACTTCCTGTCTGTCCCACGCAGGGGCCCATAGCGAAACCGGTGCCTGTTGTCAGATTGACTTTCTCAGCGAGGGTCATGTTCGCAACTACTGCATGGGCTTTGGCATATGCCTCTTCCCATTCAGGTACCCAACCACCCACGGGTGCAGGATAATATGGAGGAGACGTCCACTCTGGGGCACCATTCTGCCTCGGTTCGAGGGGTGGAGAGCTGCTGGTATCTTGGTTTGCAAGGGCGGAACAATTTAGCGCACCAACGACACCAATAAGAAATGATTTAAAGAACGGCATTTCCAGAGGATAAGGAAGTAAAAATTAAAGAATGAATGAAAGAAAGGAAAAGAGAAGAGAAGAGAAATCTAAGAGAAGGAATAGGCGGAGGAGTGAAGGATTATTTCAGTCTCACTCAGCCTAGAAACGCTCATCGACACAGAACAGGCTCAGGTATTATTTCCACCTCAATGGTGCAGCCGTCCAGGTTGACTGACTGACTGACCACATCACAGGGTATTTCTGTGGCTTTATAGACTGGAAGAGCGCCGTGCTGTGGCCCGGGTGGGGGAACAGTTGTTTCGTGCATGTGGACTGGGGGATGGAGGATCTGTTAGTTATACTTATGACTGTTCTTGGGAGTAGACCTAACTGATCCTAACTGATCTGGTGAAAGAGGGTTGTTTTCAATTTCATCACTGCATCACTGCAACACTCTTGTCCCCATGCCTCCCTGTCTTCAGGCACAACTAACCTTATGATGCATGTTTGTATTTTCTGACATGCGAGATGTGCATCGGTTCGGCTCTAATTATAGACTTGTTCTATATTGTAACTCTGGAGAAGTTGACAATGCGGCAATTCTCAAATCTACCGTCATGGCATATTCCGCCGTATCCGGCAGTTATATGCCTCTGCCTCTGTTCTCGGTGCCCCTGACCCCTCAGATAGATCGCTGCCTCCCTGTCTGCCACTCGGTCTCGCTAGTTCAGTCACTCATTTGCTCACATACAAGATATAGTGAGTGAAGAGAATGTCAGTGATTGCTTAGACATAATCCTCTTTTCTTTTCTGTTTCTTTTTTTTGTTCGTTTTCTTAGTGTAGTTATACCTGTCAACCAAGCTACGAGATTTGCTGGAGATTCTCAGCAGGCGGCCGCTCTCCGAACGGCTTAAAAAAAAAAGAAAAAAAGCCTAAAGCCTAAAGCGAGGTCTAACTTCCCCTGATTCTGCAATCGACAATACGTTGGAAGATGCTGATCACCGCCATATTCCAGGTTTCCGGTGGGCCTTCAAGAGCCGGCAATAATATGCCTCAATAGCAACAACCGATTAGGCGGCATTAACCCTCTTTTTCTTCCCTGTCTTCCATCTGCTTCCCGCGCTCTTATTCACCATCCAGTGGCGTCCCCTTGGCCCATTGGCCGGTCGTGTGGGCAGCGGGCATGCCTGCTGTGAAACGCGAGGAAACTCACCACGCGCCAGCCGAATTCAAGTTTTCTCAATGATATTTCTTTTTCGCCCCCTGTCAGCTGAGCGCGATTCTTTGCCGGATGGTGCTAAATTTCACCAGCCAAAATTGATCAGGGGTTCAAGAGTCAGGCCAGGTCGGGCCGACAGAGAGCCCTGAAAGCCAAAACTGCCGACATTTTTGTGGGTTGAGCATGGAGCCGTTGTCAACTTGTCGTAGGGTTGAGTTGCGCCTAAGCCTTCACCTGGCGCGAAATACTTGGAACTACCTAGAACTAGATAGAGGATCGACATGACCGAGGTGACACGAAACAAGCACATGGGAAGGTTCGCTCTATAAACAACCCATGGGACATGTTGGAAGGATTCGTAGGTAGTATCGGCGCATGGTTTATATCTCGCTTGCGCATTTCAGCCGACTTGGCCAAGAAGTAGTAAATATAGCGCCACCAAACAAGCATCAAAGGGAATTAATATTTTGGAAAGGGGCAACGACAATGTACGCTGTATTATTAATAGTGCCCCCAAAGCACACGAGGAGGCAGTGTGGGGCTACTTGGTTGACGTCTCTGCCGATAGTATTCCCTTTGCGAGATTCAGAGCTTCGTGAGGAATGGTTAAAGGGTTTGTCGACGGAAATTTTGACGAGATATTCCTTAATTTACTACCAAATATCTTTTTTATAGGAAATCATACTTCGAGGGGGTGCTCGTTGGGATCTTTCCCAAACCGGTAAGGTAATATCTCAGACGGTCTATGTATGTAGTAAAATTAAGTAGAAAAGTGGCCTGAACTACCAAATACTCGAAGCAATACCCTTTATCACAAATACCACGCTTAATTATTACTAAAATATCCGGGGAAAAGCCACACGAGTTTCGCAAGGGCTTCCGTGCTCAGGTGTCCAGGAGCCGTGCTCAGACCAAATTTACATGTGCCTTCTAGATGCTTTCCTTGCACCAGAGCTGCGTGTTCATCCTTTGTGAGTTCATCGAGCACCGCACCGATGAAGTTTCTCGCATTCACTGAGTTCATTTTCATATTGGCCATGACCATTTCGACTGTGACATCTGCCGTCTCTGGGTGCCAACAGTCATAGTCGGTGGACATGCAAATCATCTGATATGCAATCTCAGCTTCTCGGGCCAGTTTTGCTTCGGGAAGACAGGACATGTTGACGACGCTGCCACCCCAGGAGCGGTAGAGGTTACTCTCTGCGCGTGTGCTGAATTGGGGGCCCTCTGTTTATCATGCGAAGGGTATTGAACATTTAGCTTTCTACCTCCTTTTGTTTTATTTTATTCCCGAACAACGGCGCTTATTAAACAAGGAGGGAAGGAGGGAAGGAGTGAAAAGAGACCATACCCATGCATATCAGTGTACCACGATCATGCAACACGACCCCATCCCCTTCCAAACTATGTCCACACGCCCTCACGATCTTCGCCATCTGCTCATCGAACGGGTCCGCGAAACCAACATGTGCCACCGCGCCACCCTCGAAGAACGTCCATGGCCGCACCCCCTTCGTCCGGTCAATAACCTGGTCCGGAACGACAAAGTCTCGCGGCTTAATAGCCTCTTGCAAACTTCCAACGGCGGAAAACGCGACAATACTTCGCACCCCGATTGAGCGGAGGGCAGCGATGTTGGCGCGCGCAGGTACCTCGTGTGGTGCGTATTCGTGGTGTAGACCGTGTCGACTGAGGAATGCGACAGGGACTACCTTGCCGCTTGTGGAGCAGGTGTGGTGGAGAATGGCTATCGGAGAGGATGGGGATCCCCATGGTGTGGTGATGGTGAGGGATGCGACTTGCGTGAAATTGGGCAATTCGCGAAGTCCGGTGCCGCCGATAACAGCAATATGGACTGGGTCTAGATATAATAAAGTTGTCGTTGTTAGTATCGACTGATCTATATCTCCATTTTTAACCCCTGCGGCGGAAGAGTGTCAGGGAGTAGCGCATAGCTCCGCCGAGCCCTACGTACCATTGTATGTTTCTGCGAGGGCTGCCATTATTTTCTTTAATTTCTGGGAATTGTTTAACGTATACAAAGCTCCCACAGGCGGGAGATGAGAAATGAATATGTTAGTGGTTATCGAAAACAGTTTTGAGAAATGGCGCAGCTGAAGATTCGCAATTGTCGAGGGGTAGAAAATCGATGGGGTTGAAGCTTTGGCGGGGCAAACGATTGTCCGACGCAATTTTGGGCCCACGTGCCCGCGAAGCCCTAATTGATGCCGTTCAAGGCATTATATCTCCTTTAATTTAAACTGCAAGTAACTAAGCCCAGTCCACTACAAACTCAGACAGCCTCGCATGAGTGCTGACTATTCTCCTAACATTTCCGTCAACCTCCAAGGTTACCAGGTCTGGTGTCGTCGCAACAAAACCGTGATGACCGTGACTGGATCGCTTCATGTCTGTGCTAATAGGACCAGCGAACCGTTTCATGATTAATAACATCTTGACGGCTCTAATGTTACAACTAGAACGAGCTGACTCTATAAAGTCATATCCAGCGCGGTCCGATATCTGGTATATGAGCCTCTGTGATTGAGATCGGAGTGTTTCCGCTTCCATAGGGAAGCTATGAAATATGAAAGTCCACCACATCAACACCTCCCTTGAAGATGGAAGCGTTTGGCATGTATAGAGTCCTTTATGGTGCTGATCCGAACTCGCCAGAGTTCAAGGAATGGGCATCTACAGAGTAGAGTAGTGGGATTCGTAAGCTGCTATCTGGTAGTTACAAGGACCTCCAGGCAAGGGGCCGTTGTTGGGCCTGGCCACTATGGTCAAGAGGCTTTTTTCAATTTTCAATCCGTGCTCCTCTAATAAACGTTGAGAGTTGTAAAGGATATACTGTTCGAACAATGATAGTGCGATTAGGGACTCACAACTTGAGTGGAGAATAGGAATTTTAGTAACCCAAAGCGTTGAAATTGCGCTGTGGAAGCGATGAAGCAAAGATGCTGTTGGTGTGTTATCAGCTACCACGTTCGCATACCAGTACATACGAGTGGAGATCGATTCATTTCATTTAAACCAATATATGACATGCCTCGCTCATCTCCAGAAACGGCTGCGCCTGTTAAGAATGTCCATGAGAAGATATAGAGAACAATCAAGTCATAAATTTGCTAGCTGTGGACCGACGACACGCAACGAAAATTCCAACTGAGAGAGAATCGGGATATATTCAAACCAAAGTAAGAAGTAGAAATCCCATGTTCTACCGTCCACACGCCGTATCCCGTTCGCCTAAATATGAAGCAATCCCGCACACCTGGTAAAACGCCATCAAGCCGAAAAAAGAGGAAGAAATCATGTCTGATCCGAGATATTTGTACTTGGAGTTACGCTAACAATCAACGCCAGAATCCGGGCGAGAATCTGGCGTTCTGCTACGTTCGCTAGAACTGTTCCTGGCTCTGGACTTGCCCACATGGAAAATCTCCCTACATAGTGCGCGAATGTGGCTCACACTTTTCTCCTTTCCTGTCGTTGTTGTTGTTGCTGTCGTTCCTTTACTTCGGTTTCGACTGAGTTTCCCATCCAGTAATGCGATGAATTGGTTGTCGTCTCTTCCTTTCTCGGCAACAGAATCTAGCCTGGTAACGAATTCGTGAACAGCGGCCGCGTGTGCTTTTTGGACGTGTTGGAGCTCTGCTGCAAACGATGCTTGAAGGGTTTCCAGCTCTATGCGGTGTTTCTCGTTAAATTGAGCAATTAGTGCCTTCTCCCGTTCCTCTAGCCGTTCATTGGCCGCTCGATCATCTTCTATCTTGATATTTCGGAAATATGCCTCGAGTTCCAATTTTTGTGCGGCGAGAGCTTCCGTTTTAGCTTGCTCGAGCTCTTCTAGAGCCTTAGACTTCTCCGCCACGGCAACTCGGAGATTGTTAACCTCGTTCGCTTGCTCCTGTTCACGAACTTTCAGAACTTCAGAACTTTCCATGGCAGCTTCTTGCCATACTGAGATTTCCTCGAGTTGTTGCTGGTGGAGTTGAAGAGTTTCAGATCTGTCCACAAGGTTTCGTTCCAGTAGCCGAATCTCTGCCTCCCGCTCCTGCTCGAGCGCTTCAAGAGCTTCAGTCCTTTCTGCAACAGCCTGTTGCAACCATTTTGATTCTTCTTCCAGCTCCCGATTCTGACTCTGTAGTGATCCGGATTCCACTGCAAAGCTTTGCCGTAACTGTTCAGCCTCCTCCTCCAGCTTTTGCTTGAGGCATTCCAGAGCTCCAATCCGTTCCGTGAAAGTTCGTCGTACTTCCTTTAGCTCTTCCTCCCTCTCTTTCTCATGGCGTTCTAGAGCTTCAGACGTTTCCGCCAGCTGTTGGTGTAGCTCTCTGGCATATTCCTGTTGTTCCTGTTTGTGATATTCTAGGGCCTTAACTTGTTCCATCAGTTTTCGCCGTAGCTCTTGGACCTCTTCTTCTCGTGTACGTTTTTCCAATTCTAGCGCTTTTGATTTTTCCGGGAGCTTTCGTTGTAGCTCTTTGACTTCTTCATCTCGTTCTCGTCGGTAAGATTCTAGAGCTTTAGATCCTTCTGCCAGCTTTCGTTGTAGCTCTTTGATCTCCTCATCTCGTTCTCGTTGATAAGATTCTAGAACTCCGGATTTGTCTGCCAGTTTTCGTTGTAGATCTTTGATCTCTTCATCTCGTTCCTGTTGGTGAGATTCAAGAGCTTTGGATCGTTCTGCTAGCCTTCGTTGTAGCTCTTTGACCTCTTCCCTTCGTTCCCTTTCATGAAGTTCTAGAGCTTTAGATTTTTCCGCAAGCGCTCGATGAAACCCTTTGATCTGTTCCAATAGTTCTTTCTGATGGGTTTCAAGAGCCTCCGACTTTTCCACATAAGCTTCTCTTAACCTTTTTACTTCTTCTTCCAGTTCAGCTCTAGCTTTATCTGCACTTTCCAGGTTGTTCTCACTAATCTGTAACTTTGTTCGAAGCGAAGCTAATTGCGCTTGGAGTTCATTGATCTTGTCGTTCAATTGGGAGCACTCCGATGTGTTTTCGCTGACCAACTTCCGTATCTGCCCTCGTAACGCCTCGATGTGAAACTCTTTATGCATTAGGGTTTGCTCTAGATGTAGCTTGTTTTCCCGTTTGTTATTGCCGGCCTCTCGGTGAATCTGCTCATTCTTGGTGCCAGCATAGCTGGAAATAGGGCGACTGAGTCTCGGGCGGTCACTCTCGATCCATTTATACAAGAACTTCGATGGGTAACTATCGTCTCCATCTTGGCGGGGTGCCTGGATAAATGGTGGAGCAGGTGATCTGGGACGATTTGATATGGAAAAGCTGTCGCGCTGCCTGAAGGGACTGGGAGGAGACATTATGTCTACTTGGATGTTTCAGTATCTACTTCATGAGGTAGGTTCGACAATTTGGTAGCGATACTTGTTTCAATCTGAGAAGTGAATTTATGTAGCCAAGCAGAACCACGGGAGGCGGATCGTGAGGTCAAACGATATCGATTACAAAGAGAAGAGATGCGCCCAAGAATATGGCAATACGAAGAAGGCTGCTCCAGAACTGACGGTGTGTATTATCCCATAGATGCAGGGCGACGTGTACGCCTGCCCCTCAATTGGAGAGCGCCAATCGTTTTATAGCAAAAGAGGCCATCCGCCCGCCACTTTTTGCCATATGATATGGCACATCTTAGTGGAACCAAATTTTCAGTCATTTTGCTGCCGTTTTGCCCGGTTCTGTGCAAGTTGGTAACGGCCAGACCGTTCCGGCGGAAGGGATTCGAATTCAAGCCGAGACGGACACGAGAATAGGAATCGGCGTCATCTGCCCCTTGTGTGAAAAAACGCACAAGATCGAGAGAACAGTTAGCGCCAGTGCCAGTTAGCTACCATTACTGGTGGACAACTGGCGAATAAACACATTGCAGCACTCCGTATTGCAGCTGGAACTCTTCGGTCGTCAATGTGCAGCCGGCTCACATTTCTGCTCCCTGGCGTCACAATACAGTGGTAGTACTGTGGGCCCCGAAACCAGCCGAGCGAAGTGGCCTGATCATGGAGCCTGGCAAAGACAACTTGTCTCCAGAAACTGCGCTGGGGCCGAAGTAATTCGTGGGTTGGGCACCAATCAACGACCATTCCAATTGGCATGAGCTGTTGTCGAAATGATTCGGGCAAGAAAGAGGTTTAAAAATAGTTCTTAAGTTTTGATCCAACCCGCCCAAATTACTCCGCTTTGTAATCATAATCTCCACGTTATGTTTCAGCTTCTGCATTCCCACTTCTACTTGTCGATTGATCTATGATTGAGATATGTGTGAAGTTCGCTCCTACTGTTGTAACAATACAAACTATAGGCTACGGTTTGCGATAGGAGGACTAGACCACGCAAACACTGATTGGGTGTGAAATTTGAAGAATATGGAATATGTGATACCACTATTCCTACAAAGGTTACGTACGGGGCAGCTCTGGATATTGGAAAATGAGAAACGCTAGAGATAAATATCACAAAGGCAGGCCATGGCACCAACTCAAATATCAGATCCAGTAACGTTGTAAAACGAAATTGCTCGGTTATATGGTGTATATTGGTAGTCATTCTGTAGAAAAATGGTAAACGATTAAGAGCACATGCAAAAGCAATGCAATCAGTTTATGATGCAAGAGACTCTTCGCGTAGCGCAGCTTCTCGGTGCCTTTCATAGAGGATTCAGTCGAATACGACCTTCTTACCCTGGAAAGCAGCATTGCTCTTCTGCTCCTTGGCTTTCTTAGCAGCCTCCCAGGAAGGATGCAGAGGCTTCTGATCCGGGGCTGGGCGAGGCCTAAGTTGTTCGAAGTTCGGATTCGGGGCTTGCGCAACCCGATCGACTTTGGCCCTTCGAGAAGACATGCCCCCTGCAAACCCTCCCCTCCCACGCCTCCCTCTCATCTTATCACGAGCTGTAGCCCCTTTCCGCATATCCCATCCACTATCACGCGATTTTTCCTTCTCCGGTGGTTGGTTTTTAAGATGGTTAGCCCCTGAACCAAATTTCTTTTCCCATAGTTTCCTCCTAGCCTGTTGGCCCATCCTATTTTTCCTCGGTTGAATTCCCGCTGCGGCGGCGTCTTCGTCGGCGGATTCAGATCCTGACCAGTAGCCGCCCAGAGTGAGAGAAGGAAGGAATGTTGTTTCTGGGTTCTTATTATTCGATTTAGAAGGTTTGGTTTTGGTTTTCGATATAGAGGCCGATGACCCGGTAGAAGGGGTTGGTGAAAGGGACGGTTCATATCTTGCCGAATTACGACGGAAACCATTATCGTTGTCTCGCCCCCCCTCCTCGTCCGATCCTGATTCCGACTCTGAAGAAGATGCCAGTCGGGCATTATATTGCTCCATATCTGCGTCTTCCATTGCCAAATCATTTTCATGGCCATTGGCTTGCTGACGGTTAGATCTCGATTCCTCCTCCACTGCGCTCAACCGTTTGGTTATCGGCGGAGTGGTCTCGCGCGTCCTGCTTTTCTCAACAAGTACTCCATCACCAAGGCCTAATATTTGCCGTATTCCGCTCAAAATACCCGGTAAGACGTCTCTCACAGGGTTTGATTTGAACAAACGGGCTACGACGTTCGCTTCAGGTCCGTTTTTTGGACCTTCGGGGAGGGGCTTCCTCGCCGCCACTCTCGAAAATGCTGGTGATTCTGCAATCCGTTTTGTCTTTGCAAGATGCTTGAGCAAGTGCCGTTCCGCAGTAACCCCCAAATCCAACCCCTACAATTGTCAACTCAAGATCGAATTATATATAGTTCGGCAGAACAGCACAAACGAGAATGTAGACTCTACCTTTAATGCTTGAATTTCCTCCTCTATTCGCGATAGCTGAGCCGTTTCATTCGTCTCTGTAGCTGTCTTTTGGCGACGTCCTAGCTTCTGACGTTCAAAACCACGGGCGGTTTTGAGAGCTCGGTGTATTAGTTGACAGCCATGCTCAATCTTCTGCTCGAGGCGGGTGCTTTGAATTCCCAGTCTCCTATCATCCGGGTTGGATATGTCTGACTTCTCATAGTCACCTCGTTTCCGTTTTGACATGTTAGTGCTTGTATATAGTTACTCCTCAGCACCGTAGTTTGCGCGTTCTGCTGCGCACAAACAATGAAATAGCTGCAACATTTTCGCTCATTGAACAGCTTCGAGGTTTGAAGCAAAATGAATTTTGGCGAGAATCACGTGAAATGTTGCTGAGTCAGCGCGGTAGTTGGGCCAAGCGGCTATTCTCCTTCTAAATCGGGACAGTGGGAACATCAAACTCGGCATCTCGTAAGTTAACGAACGCGCTTTAGCAGCAAAACGGCTAACGGTCCGCAGGCGAGCTGTGGATATAAAAATGGTGCATCGGCAATCATACACGAGCATCTCATAACTCCAACAACGCCTGACATGGCTTCCCAAACACCAGAACCCCAGCCCAAGGTCCGCAGAGGGCCTCGAGGCAATAAGCGTGCCCGCCTTGTCTGCCTTCGTTGCCATGAAAAAAAGGTAACCGGTGCAATTAAACTGAGCAACCTGGGTCTATGTGTGTTAACCGGCATCATAGATCAAATGTGACCTCCAAATCAATAATTCCGAGTGCGAATCTCCGAGATGCTCAAGATGCGAAGTTGCTGGGTATGAATGCCGGTATGTATCATGAATTTTCTGCGGGGGTGATTAAATTTTCACATATTGACCTGTTTTTAAGCATTCGTCCATCCAAACGCGGCGCAGGTAATCGGGCTTCCATCCGGCATGGAAGCCTAGACGATCCTGACGCGGTTGATTCATTGCCCATTGTTTCTTTGCCATACGACCCCACTTCTAATTCGACACTGAGCAATCAGGGCTTGGTTCAGGTTAAGGCTGAACCATCTGCTCAGCTGGTAGTGCCAGATGACCGAATGGTCACAGAAAGCACTTCTTACTTCTCGGGGGGAGTTGGGAGGCAGCAACTCTCGTATCCAAGTACGCCAGAAGGCATTCGCCAATCAACCTCCCAGCTTCTGTCAGCCCGGACGGCCTCGTTACCTGTGAAGACTCACGATAGCGGGCATGCCCAGAATTCCTTGTATTCTAGCGAATCAAGTTTTCCACAGATGCTAGATAACTCCGCTGCGATGAATCAGCTGGGTTCAGCTCAAACGGGGTTACAACCTATGGATTTACCTCCCCCGGCACTGCAAGAAAGTTTCATGGACACTTATTTTCAGTATTGCTATCCGTGGTGTCCCATTCTCGACAGCTCTATCCTCTTCCCAGAGCAAGAGGAGTCCCGTTCTGTCCTCTTCAATCAAGCATTGGCTCTTCTTGGAAGCCGAATACAGCCATCAGTTCTACAGCATGTCCCTCCGATTGTGTACTATAACCGTGCGAAAGCACTCTTTAATGGGAACCATGAAAGTAATCCGATAACTTGCATGAAAGCGCTCCTGCTATTTTATTGGTGGGGTTCGGCCCCGAATAGCCCCAGCCTCGATACCGTATGGTGGTGGACAGGTGTTGCCATCAGGTTAGCACAGCAAATCGGCATACACAGAGAGCCAAAGCCCGGGCAAGTTATGCGACCAAATGAATCTCCAGGTTTGCGGCGACGAATTTGGTGGACATTGTTTGTAAGCTAAGAATATGCTCAATATGACCGAATTTATCAGCTAACGAATCCCGCAGGCAAGAGAACGCCTAACAAGTATATGTCAGGGCAGGCCTTGTATAATTGACCCTTTGGACTGCAATGTCAGGGAACCGTCACTGGAAGATTTTCCAGAACCAAAGGACCATTTCCGAGCGCAAATTTTCATATATTGGGTTCGACTTTCCCACCATGTTGGCAAAGTTGCAAAATATCTGTTGCAAAGAACCGAAACGACACAATTTCCGGGATATTTAGCTAGGCATTTGGTTGACTGGGTTCAGTCCCTACCTGAAGCTTTGCGCTTACCCATCGCAACTAATCGCACAACTCCATTCAACCGGGATGTGCACCAACTACATTTACCCTACCTCACGACAATAACTCTTCTCTACCTCACAAAGTCCTCCCAGCCGCTCCCCAAAGCATATACCACTGCTGTCCTTTCTGCGTCCTGCGTTGCCCGTATTTTCGAAGACCTTTTAGCCCGGGGATCCATTTCGTTTCTCCAAGGTATGGCGGGGTGGCACATCGCTGTTGCGATCTTAGCACTGTTACATGCACGTCGAATACCAACCCTGACTGAAACTGCGGACAACCATATCGCCCTTCTTAAAATCGCCCTAAAGGAGATGGCCAAAATGTGGCCGTCTGCAAACATACTAGACCAGGAACTCGACCGCCTTCGCGCGAGTAATAAATTCCTCGTCTCCGAAGAGCGGTCCCCAACACACGCCATGGACGTGCGACCCACCAACTCATTATCCGAATTAGCCGATCTTGCAACCGGCACACTTATAAATGTCATGGACTTTTTCCCGTTTGCCACGATCCAGACGAGTCCCCTGATCGAAATATTGTTGACACAAAATTCTACGATGATTTTCGCTGATCTCGAATGGCCGCGCGATATCTCAACCCAACTACATGATTTACTCGACTCGTTTGGAGGTGTTTAGTAGATGGGATTTTCTAATACTTTAACGAGGGCTTTACTTTTGTTCTCCTTTCCATTAAAAACAGAAGCATGTCGTTCGATGCAACTTTTTATATACATAGCTGAGGAAGCGAACTTTCGGTAAAAAATAGGTGCTCTATAGCAAATGGTCTCAATTTGATTTATTATGAGGGATGAATTGGAGTTTTATGGGGTTTGTCAGATGTTGGGTTTTTTCTTTTCCTTTTGTTCGGCTTTGATCTTTATCATCTTCTCCTCCTCCCTTAACACCTAACTCCCCAAAAAAAAAAGTTCAAAAAGCGGTTGGCAAATTTGCCATCGCGTCTGATTAGATAGTACTAACCTTCTCCAAGAAGATTAATAATATTCACCTCGTCGACGAGTTGTCTGGATATTCTTGTGAAGTCCCAGTTCTTCTCATCCTTCCCTGCAAATTAGTTCAAGGGAAACTTTTGACAATTGCCGGTTTCGCCGCCAGTGCCGAGTTATGGCACAGGGTGGGTTGCCGATCGCCGAAAGCTTGGCGCGGAAGACACCCGCCCCGCTTTTATCGGCAAAACTTAACATCGACCCTTCATCGCTTGTAGATAAGAAGTTCATTCATACCCGGCAAGAACTTGGTAAACCGCCAGTGCGCTGATGAATGGAGAGCCCGTGTATTTTGCCCCTGGCTAGGTTCTATACCCGTTGTCAGTGGATGTTAGAGTTTGAGTCAGTTATGCATGAAAACCGTATGAGCCCACGTTAGGTGGGTACGGGACGTGGCCCGTTTATTTTCACAGCATTTTGGCGAAACAAATGACGCGATACTGTTGGGTTATGGACTGGTTGTCCGAACTTTATGCGGCCAATCACTGCACCTGTCGACAGGGCGGGAAGTTGAGATAACGGCCAACTTTCCCGGATGGAGTTTAACGGCTATTCCAGACGTTCCACAGATACATTGTTTGGATGCGGAGCTTGCATGTATCCAGTTTACCGCTTTTTAGTGTTTCCGAGATGGCTGAGTGTGAATTGCTATGCTACGCACGGCCAGTTCAAATTCGAGCATTCGTGTCGTGTAAGAAGGAACCTCTTCGGGGTTACTCCGCAACAACTTCACTGCTTCTTGTCCCTCGTTCCTAGACGCATATCCCAGGCGTTGCAGCCCAAACAAAGTTCAGGTAGCAACATCATGACTCTGAGAATAGGCTCACCGCTGTCAATCCACCTTGGATTGGCAAATTTGGCTCCTCCCTCTGCCTAGTTCATCCCGAAGGATTAGTACTCGCGGACAGGTCCCGCCAGTGGCTGGCACATCTATTAGCCTCTACATTGCCTACCACCGCATATAAAATCCCTTAGCCAAGGAACTGACAAGGAACCCGGCTACTCTGGCTACATTCTGGCCTCGACTGGCTTCATGTTTCCCTATTAGCTAGTTGTCATTAAATGTAATGTGCATGCGCATGTACAGTACATATACTTCACGATGTCACATCCCATCATCCAACGTGGAATGTTAAAGGATGAGAGAAGAAATCAAAGCTCCCCGTGTCTGACACATACGGCGCTAGCCTAGAGGTTCCATTTCCATTTTGTTTGAACAACGCTATGGCGATATTTCTCCCCAAATGAAGGGGTGGGAAATTATGGACGGGTGTCATGACCTGACCATGGGAGTGACACCTACTGCAACAGGTGCTGGACGGAGTATAAGAATAAGAATAGGGCATTTATCTGAAGAAGGGAAACAGCTGATTTCGATCAAAGTGATATTTCGATATTTCTACAGAGAGTTATCAGCGAAAATTACATTCGCTATCTTATGTCTTCATTATCTAGAATAACGTATATCAGGAACTCTTATTATTTCCGAATGTTAAATAATGTTGATGTCAACGTTCAAGCAATAAATATTCTACGGGGTTCAAATGGCGGGTTAGTTAACTGTTTAGTTGACAATGATTCACATGAAATGGGCTGGCTGAAGGCAAAAAAACAAAGAAAAGGTCCCGAGATCTGCGATAAGCTGCATGTGCAATTGATGTGAAGACGGCTGGCATTTTTATAACCCCCAGAAACGCAAACCTGAACAAGAAACTTATGCAAATATCCTAATCAATATACGTTCCTGAGGAGTAAATACAGTCGAACTACCTCCTTCGCAATGTGTACAGGAGCGATCAGATACCTGCTCCCTCTCCTCTCCATCTTCGCCGTCTATTCCATTTTCATATTTGCGCATCGGAATGGCTTTATTTCCATGCTTCAGCATGCCATAGCTGATGGTATCCTCCCTGAAACAGACGAGCGGCTGAGAACAGATATCACTGGCGTCCATGCGCTGGACCAACTGTTTGCCAATCTAATACCGTTTTTCTGGCCGGTGGTTGATGGCGGCTCGCCCAGCGCAACTTTGTATGGGTTGAAGTTCTCTGGTGCTATCGGCAGCCTGTGGTCGTTGGTGCTGCTGGAAACGTTTCGGGCTGGGAATAAGTCATTTCTTGTTTTGTAGTATGTCGAGATGCATTGTTTGATACCCTAAGACAATCTGTGATTTCCATGGAGTATCGTTAGTAAATAAGATACAGCGACATATAAAAACCTATTCTAATCAAGTTATGATATTACAGTCCTGTGATAATTGGCGTCCTCCTGCAATTATTTACCTTCGGGGTCGTTTTGCCCATCTACGCAGCGCTTCATCTCTTTACATCAAGGACTCTGTCAGCCCGCCAAACCATCGACATCCCATCACACTCACTCACAGGTGTAAACCTCATTCCCCTCAGCGTAATCCTAGGCTACCTCCTGCCATCTCTTGCCATGGTCTTCCCCGAAACAACAACCACAAGTTTCCTGCCATCAACCCAGGAGCGCATCGCCTTCTGGCAACCCTGGCCCATCTGGCTCTGGCTCATCCACTCCACACTAACCAGCATTACGGCCCTATTCAGCTCTCCAGTCCCCAATTTCCAAGGCGCCAAACATACCCGCTCCGCACTCCGTCGTGTCTACGCCTTCGCCTTTACAATCACTGCAGTCCCACATATCGCTGCCTGGTCCCTGTCCCTCGCCGCCGCCATTTTCCCCATCCTCTTCGACCAGGATGTCGCAACTGCCCTGCACCCAGCGCGCGTGTTTCTGAACGCCATGCCCTGGTCGGGCGTCCAGGCAAAATCCTTTGGCGAAGGTGCGCTGTGGTTCCTGCAGTGGGACCAGGCAGTGGGAGTTGTCGGGATGCTCCTCTGGGCTATCGACCTGTATGTGGCGGCGCACAGGGCCCGCAAGGTTAATGTAGGATGTATCGGGCTGGCGGTTAAGGTGGGTTTGTTGTGCGCTGTGTCTGGAATGGCAGGGGCTGTGGTGGAGTTAATGTGGGAGAGGGACGAAGTCCTGCTTCAGGGAACTGGGCTGGAGAAGGTGCAGGGGGCTGAGAGTAAGACGAAAAGGAGGTAGATGTTTTGTTTCAAGTCCTGGGCAGCTGAGTTGGATTTTTTCGGTGATTTTGTTCGGGCACTCTACTGTGTTGTTTTATCACCCTCTTTCCTTAATTTTTTTTAGTCTTGTCGGTATGGTTTTGACGGACATATGGATATGCAGAAATATAGTGAGCAAGTCTAAGACATGATTTAGTGAAGTATATACATGAGATCGATACTAGGAAAATTGGAGTTTTTAGGAAGGTGAAATAGTAAATCCACGAGCGTAAACGGAAACAAATTGTTATACACTATATCTGTGCTACTTTTTTGGTTCCTCCTTCTTCTCTTCAGGCTGAGGGGTGGGCAATTTGAACTGTTATTGTGGGTGTATGGGTTAGCCTGGGATGTCCTCTAAAAGAGTGTAGAATTGACTTACTTCGCTTGGTGTCTTGTCGATACCTTCTCCAACCTGTTCCCAGGCAGAAGATCCAGCGCGGAAGTCGCGGAAAGCCTGCGTCATCTCCAATGGCTCAACAACAATTCTCTTTTTCTCCTCACAATATCGAATTTCCGTGTAGCCCGTCAGTGGGAAATCCTTTCTGAGCGGATGTCCATCAAATCCATAATCCGTCATAATCCGTCGGAGATCAGGGTGGTCCACAAAGAACACGCCGAACAAATCGTACACCTCACGTTCATACCACAAAGCTCCGTCATATAGACAGGTAATGCTGGGCACCGGGGTTGCTTCGTCTGCGTACGTTTTGACACGTATCCGCGAATTGTGACGCACGCTGAGAAGATTGTATACGACCTCGAAGCGCTGGTCGCGGCTCGGGAAATCGACCGCTGTGATGTCAACAACCTGGGTATATTCCGCCGCGGTGTGCTGTTTGAGGAAAACGAAAGTGGGTATGATGCCTGACGGGGGGACGTAGATGGTCAATTCGTCTTTCCAGACGGAGAACTGTTGAATATATTTCGGTAGGCAGGACATGAGGTATTGGCCATATTTGTGTAGACCCGCGGACTGCTCGGCGTATTTATCTACGGGGTTGACAATGGGACGATTCAACTCCCCAACAGCTAAACAAATTCAGAAAAACGTTAGCAAGTATAGAACTGATCACCGGCGCTCTTCAAACAGGCCTAGGGGTGGACTGACCAGGACGAGGTGCCTCTCGCAGGTTTGGAGTTGGTGTGGATACAACCTTCGTCCGTCGCAACGAGCCGCCTGCGGAGAAGAATCGGGCGGATGAGGGTCTAGCAGTAGAGGCCAGGGAGCGACTGGTGCCCAGACGCATGACTGGCCGTGCAGACGCCATGGTTGCGGATCAATTGGGATATAGAGGAGATAGATACTCTGGAAGACTGTAGTTTAACATCCCGAAAGTAATCCTGGGCGACGTTGGAACGAAAGAATAGCTAGATTACATAATGATCATGTCACATGACTCCGCTGATCTAAACAACTCTAAAAAAGGCCTAGCGCCGCAGAAAGCTCGTCCTCGTTCTTTCTTCCTCTTCTCCTCGTCTTTTCTCTCTTCAACTCCTCTCGCCATCACCACACTGGCACCAAGGACGCTGTAACTCTCCTGTGCGCTCTTATACGTCCTCTAGACGTATCCTTCTCCCGTTGTCCTATTGACTTCGTTTGCTATCGACTCCGGTTCTGCGGCGTTGTGGATTTTGCCGCGTTCAAAATATTTCTCTACTGATCTGCGACCCCCCCCCCCAACTTGTTCATGAGTTCTGGCACGCTGGATCAACTTCATTGCTGTAGAAGCGTCGCGCTAGGTTCGCTGGGAGAAGACGTGTCGAGATGTCATTCCGTACACAACATGACACAGTTATCGATGATGATGACGAGTCATGGTAAGTTTGGGCTTAGCTCTGTTGTCCTTTCCCGCCCCCATTTATAACCTGTTCCATCCTGACCTATATGCTTCTTTTGCCGCAATAGTCCCCTTTGCATCGAAGAGTTCGACCTGTCAGATAAGAACTTCAAGCCATGTCCCTGTGGATATCAGGTATGTGTTTTCCTATTCAAGATCCTTTTACCACTGGATTTGGAGGGGGTAAATCGTCCTTCAGCACGACGATGGCGGCTAATATTAATGTTCTTCGCAGATCTGCCAGTTTTGCTACAATAATATAAAAACACATAGTGAAGAAGGTCGATGTCCAAACTGTAGACGTGTATATGACGAAAGCACAATCCAGTACCGAGTTCCAGATGCCGATGAGTGAGTCTCACCCCTTAATGTTCATTAGCCTGCCGCTATGCCCTCCTGCTAATGCCGATTACCACCGAATCAGGTTTAAAGCGGATTTGGCATTGAAACATCGCAAAGCTGCCGCAGCTAAGAAGCGGGAAGCCGAAAAACGAGAAATAGAAGCGTCCAGTCGGAGAAACCTTGCTGGAGTCCGTGTTGTCCAGAAGAACCTCGTCTATGTCATTGGCCTCAACCCCACGATACGAGATGAAAGCCAACTTTTACAAACCTTGCGCGGAGACCAGTACTTTGGACAGTACGGTGATATTGAGAAGATTGTTGTTAGCAAGGCAAAACCGGGTGGTAACCCAAACCAGGGCATCGGTGTCTACGTCACCTTCGCTCGTAAAGCTGATGCTGCAACCTGCATTGCCGCGGTAGATGGATCGCCAAACGGTGATCGTGTACTGAGGTAGGTTGATTTTGGTCTTTGGCTCTTCTAAGTCTAAATCGTCATGTTAGCTTAGGTACTAATCAGTGGATGTAGGGCCCAATATGGAACCACGAAGTACTGCTCATCGTTTCTTCGAAATGAGCAATGTAACAACCGTAACTGTACATTCCTTCACGAAACTGGAGAGGATAACGACAGCTTTAGCCGCCAAGATTTATCCTCCATGAACACCCTATCATCACAACGTGTCCATCCCAACCCACCCACTGGACCTGGTCCTTCCACATATTCCCCATACACCCACCATGCTCAACCTGTCAGACCCCCCTCACATCCCATCCAGATCCCCACAGGCGCGCAGCCGATGCGGAGACAAAATAGCCGGGATGAAGCTGGTAATCGAATTAATACCGACTCTTCTGCTCTACCATCATCTGCAAGCTGGGCGAATAAAGACTCCCATGTTCAACGTGCACGACGACCAAGCTTGGCGGCTAGTCGCTCTTCCCCAAGCCCAAAAGGATCGAATGCTGTTGTGAACAAGATTGAGGATCTAAAACGTAGTGTTGAGAGGCAATCTCATTCTGCCCAAGATTCTTCTCGCCAGCAAACCCCAACAATACCAGAGGCCTCGGGTTCATCTTCGCGTGCGAATCGACCAGCCTCCCCGTCGCCGCCTGGCCTGCGCGAAATTTCCGTGCTGGACGACTTGGTGAAAGCCGTAAACAGTCCCGACTTCCGTTTTATATTTTCAACTGCTGGCTTGTCACCTGAGGAGCTCGCGTATATTGAAAACCACCCTTCCATGATTGATCCTTACGGTGGGGTGAAGCGTCGTGCTATGCGTGAGAAAGCGGAGCATGAGCGGGCGAACCAGGAAACTGACAACCAAATGTTGCTTCACCTTAACACTAATGAGGAAGAAAATCTCGAGGGTGGCAGTTCGCAACTAGGAGGCGAGCCCGAAGAGATGCATTCAGCTGGTGCCTCGGGGCGGAATACTAGAGAACCGCTTAGTGCCATTCAGCCACCTTCGCAACAAACGACTACAGCAAATTCTGCGATTGGATCGCCCGTCTCTGCTGGCCACCAGTTTCAAGGTCTAAACATGGCTGGGAGGAGCCTCACGCCCCTCCAGCAACAGCAACTTCTGCTACTCAAAAACGCTGGCGGACAACATATGGGGTTAATGGATCAGTTGCAATCGGCTTCCATCTCCAGCTCATTCGAGCACAATCCTCAACAACGTGCAGCGGTTTATCAGAACCAGATGCCACAAATGACTGGTGTGCAGGGACATGCCAGGCAGTCGTCAAGATTCTCGTTTGTAAATGACGCCAATGCCAAGAACGCATCCAACCAAAGGCTTGTCAACCAGCAGGCATCGACAATGCAGAACGTTAACCCAAATCCCCTTAATGTGTCGACGGGCCAACATGGTTTGGGAAACCATTACTTCGTTAGTGGTGTTCAAGGACCTCCCCCTGGTTTGAAAACTGCAGGCACTCCCCCAATTAGTGGTGGAGGAATGTTTGCTCAGGGTCACGGCTTCACAAGCACAATGAATAATAACCTGGGTCTTGGGACCAAGCAAGATCCTAACCCTGACCTAATGCGTGAACTTATGCGTGGTCGAAGTGGCACGAGTGGTGGTGGCGGCGTTCAAGCGCATGAGGCTGCTAAGCGTGAGTTTATGTTCCCCTTTATTCAGATGCACAACACACCCCCTCCCCTGGCTCCCGTATCTGGCCTTCTCAGCTCTCTTTATGGCCATCATAATGGGTCCCACCAAGACCCGGGACCACAGAAGCAGAAGAAGAGGGGGAAGAAGCACAGACACGCTAACACTTCCTCCGGCGGAGGTGGTGTAGTAGATCTTGCGGACCCGAGTATCTTGCAGGCTAGAATGCACCAGAGTGCAGCTGGTGCTACCCCTGGGCAGGGACTATACGGGAGCCAGGGTCAAGGTGGGTACAATCACTCCAACATGGTCTATGGTGGTGGCTTTGGCCGGTGGTGATGATTTCCCCCTTGCACTGCTGGACCTCCTTTCCGTGACTTTTCTTTCCTTCTTCTTTGCTCTTAGCGTGTTTATTGCCATGTTCTATTTATTTGATGATAATATATGCTCTCCCTTCTTGCTTTCACCCCCCTTGTCATTTTTCCCTCGCCTGAGTTTTGGGAGTTTACGACTTCCTTCCCACAATGCTTTCTGATATTTATTTCACGTCTCCCTTTAATGTTTTCATTTTCTCTCCTATTTTCCTGCACAGCATATGGCAATCGATTCAAAATAACGGGGCTAGGCGAGCCTCGGGCGTTACCTGGGTGTTATGGTCACATTTCGGTGAGGCTGAAGGACGGCGTCAACGCATTACATTCCTTTTTTGTTTGCAGAGATCTACTCTCCTTCTTTAGGGGTTTGCTACAAGCTTGGGGCTCTTCATTAGCAACACGGGTTTTAATTTTCCAGCACTTTTGGCCCCCGCCATGGTGATTGTGGGCCTTTCTTTTGTACGTTAAGTCTCCCTTATCCTGACTTGTACCCAAGTCAGGCCTATTTCGAAAGCAAATTTCTCACATTTATTGCTCATATATAGACTCGCGTTCCACAATTTTCTTCTTCCCATTCAACTCCCTACATTCTGTGGCCATTGTTGTAATGAAGAGCCCAAGCATTATGTATATACACCGCCAGTGTTACGATGTAGCCCTCTCATATTGTTTCCGCAGTCGATTCTTTTATGCATCCCATCCTAGCTTCTTTTATTTTGTGGTCGATCAGCAGCGCTTTTCTTTGTCGTTTTCTTCCACGAGTCTTGGAGTATGCTAACAGAGATATCTTGATCTAGCAGACGAAGATTTCCCTCCTCTAGGCCCTCCAACCAAGCCGCTTGACAAACGCCCTTTGGACACATTCCGAATTGCATCAGGATCCCGCGCCTCTCATGGCTCCAATGATTCGCCCTATAGGTCTGGTACCCCTGTACTGCCACCGGGTCTTCCCCTACCACATGGGCACCCTGCTGCACCCTTCATCCACGATCTCAGCCCATCGACTTCAGCCCTATCGAGTCCTCAACCAGGACACATCACTTTACGAAGTGGGTTTTCAACACCTGTACAGAAACTCAAAGAATTAAACCCTTCAACACAGCCCACGCCGGACGCTCAAGCGTCGTCGGCCGCACCTTCCGTGCCTGCACGGACGCGAACGGCTGCAGAAATATCTTCTGGATCTCCAAAACCTAAGTCCCTAGCTGCTAGTCGTTCACAGTCTGACAGTCTCACTGCAAAGAAAGACAAGGCTCGAGAGGCCAGTCCTGGAAAGGCCGCAGCACTTACTACAAAAGATGGCAAACAGTCTTCTGAGACTCACGGCAAGCCAGTGCCCATTAAACTCAATCTTTCAATGGCCACTTCGGGGCACGCTTCCCCTTCCCGAGCCACTACGCCTAATCACAGTCTCTCCTCTATACCACAATTAACAAATGCTGCATCTCGCCCTAACACCCCGTTGATTGGTGTCTCACGTGCATCTGATTCTCCCGCACCTCGTCAAGCTAGGGTGTTGCGCGTTGTTGACACATCAAAATCAGACACGCCTACCACGCCGCACAATTCCACACCACCTACGAAACATCTATCACGGCAGCCCAGTCTTTCAACCAATAGCCGCCCAGATACTCCCAACAATGGCGACTCTGAATATGACATCCATACCTCTGCATCTGTCTCGAGGGCAAGTTCGCCACCACCTAGTCGTGTTGGCTCTGCCCCAGTTCGCACTATCACGAAGAGTCAATTGAAAAAAGAGCGGAAGCTCAAGGCTAAGCAAGCTGAAATCAAAAAGGAAGAAACTCTTTCCACTTCCGTAGTTGCTGAAGAACCCGTCCAGGCGCCGATCATTGGCAGGAAACGCAAGACAAAGAAAGCACCGACACCAACCAGCGAACACCCACCTTCTTCTGGTGCTAAGTCTGAAACAATAGATAGTACTCCACAGTCTGCTAAATCATCCAAAAACAAGACCCAGAATAAACCCGAGACATCAACACAGGCCAAAGGATCTGATAAAACGACGCGCGAAAACGCCTCCAAAGAACAGACACCGCAAAGTCTACCCGCAGAAAAAGATGAAAAATCTGAACCATGGAGGTCGAACAATACGACTGGACAACTCTTGGCCGATTCAGAAGCTAGCGGTATACCAGTGAAGGATCTTTTCTTGGAGAGAACATCGCCGCTTCCAGTTCTACTAGCGCAACTGCATCAATCTGGCGATCTTGATCTAAATACACATCCACTTTTCAATCCACCAAACCTCAACCAACGCTCAGATTTGAAATGTACAGCTGATGACTACGATATTTTGAAAAAGCCCATTGAACTGGCCGAGGAACATAGAACAAGGTTGCTCCAAGGTGAACCGGTTCACATCAACGCAGAATCCGACCTCCTCAAGTATCGCTGTCTAATAACACCTACCGGATGTGTTCTCCGCCACCTCTCCGAAGAAGAGGAAAACCGCTACCTTGAACTCGAGAAGAGCCTCGCAGCCGCATGGGAGTCACTACAGGAATATCCAGCATTAACTGTCACAGAGCCCGACGCTACCAACCGCGGCGGCGGACTAGATGCGCTCTTTGCCACGCCTGAAAAGTTCAATATCCGCTGGATCGATGGGGTGCCGGAGAATGGCCTCCTCTCCGGCCCTGCAAAGCCTTCCTCCTTGCCCTCCCCTCCCCCACTCAGTGCCAACGGCTTCTCTACCGGTTCTACAGCTTCGGAAATTGCCGTTACCGCTCGTGCTTCCGCTTCTGCTGGCTCCGGGGTTACTCATGCTTCTGTGCCCCGTTCATCCACCGCGCCAAAATTGGCGACGAGCGAAAGTCATCTTGGCGTTAGCCTTGAGGAGCTCATGAGCATGTCTGATGAGGAACTACGGGCAATGATCGAGGACGCACAGCGGGAGTTGGAGAGTTCGCGCAAGGAGGTGGATATGGTGGATAAGAAGGTGATGACTCTTGTGAAACGAAACAAGAAGCTGGTGCAGCAGGCGCTTTCTGCTGCGATGGAGTTTGTGGGGTCGGCTTCAGATATGGGGTTGTGAATCGCGGCTGTTCTGCTACTGTTGCTGGTGGCGATGGTGCTAGTGCTGGGGGTTGCGCTGCTGTAGCGTGTGGGCCGGATAGGTCTGAGTGGGCAGCTCAACAATGAAGTTGAGCTTGCTCGGCTCGTCGTCGTATCGAGGATGGTCTGACCGTCTTTCGTCGGGCATTTACCTTCTTTTGCTTCCGGGATGTATTACTACTTGGGGGGTTGTTGATTTCTCTGCTTTCTTATTTTCTCGTTTCTCGGTTCCGCTTTTCCCGTGCCCCCTCCACTACGTCTTTTCAAAGCCCGCGAAATAAAAAAGGGAACAGTAAAATCAACCTGCGGCATGGAGTTCACACTACCTGGGCGCATCTGAATTTTATCAGAATGGATTTGCTGAATGTTATTTTTGGTTTGGTTTTTTGTTAGGGTTAATTTTTCGCTCCTTCCCGATCCCCTGTTTTTTTATGGCGTCGCCCTTGATTGTTTTGTATTGGTTGGGCAAACAGGCTCAACTCTACGGAGTATTTTATGCTTGATTTGATCTTCGCTCCCTTTTACCGTTCCACTCGTTGGCGTTTTAAAAGATCTGGGTTACATTGTTGAGTTTTTGCATGGCATCTACCTCATTTTGTCATGCCTCAGTTGTCAATTGATGATTCTAAGAATGCAGGCGTACAAATTATAATTAATATTAATTTCATGGATTAATTGGTTGGTTGGTAAACAAATGAAACTTCTGTGAATACTTGTTGTCTGTCTGCTGTTTTTGAATCTTCCACATGGCAGATGAGTAACTTAAGTTACAGGGTTGATTGCGATGAATGGGAAGGCGGTGGGGTGGTTGATGTATCTTTGTTAGTTTTGGTGCCCATCAAATGACTTTGGTTTGCGTACTCCATAGATGCAGAAAACTACAGTTGAGTACCTAGTAGAAAAGGGTTATATATGCATAAAGTATCGAATCACTAGATACTTAATAATGTAATATTAGTATGAGATGTAGGTACATGTACATGTACAGTACATGAAAACAAAGGTCGGTCTATACTCCTATGGAGAACTCCCATTCCCCTCGGGTTGATCCGCAACGGAACACGGCAGCTAGTAGGAATGACACTGAGCCTCGTTCCCAACGTTTCTCAGCCCTGTGCCGCCGGCAAAGGAACGTGGAACAGAAAGCAGGGCTTAATCCACAATACAGGTCGCATCGCCAGCGGCGTCACCACGATCTAAAAGTTCGATTCTAGCCATTTCAGCCCCACAAAATCACAGGCCTTTAATCCCATCTTCAAATTCACGAAGGTCATATTCAGCCGGGTACGCCTCCAGAATACGCTTCAATTCCTCCTTCTGCCTCACCGTCGACTCCGGCATCTTTTCAAAGACATCATTAAACATCTCGCGGAGCGGTGGCTTCTTCTCCTTCTCCGCTGCCGAAAATTCACGAAGAACAGCCTTCCGCAACTCGTCCCGCGTGTCACGCTCAAGGTCTTCATTCCAGATCCCCTCGCCCTCCATCCATTTCCGCAGCCGTGTGATGGGGTTATCACGCCGTTTCCAGTCCTCAACTTCAACGCGGGCACGATACGCAAAGCTGTCGTCGCTAGTGCTGTGGTGGGAGACGCGATAGCTCATGGCTTCGATGAGGACTGGTCGTCCACCATTTTCTAAGGCCATTCGGCGGGCTTCTTTGGTCACTTCGTGAACGGCGAAGATGTCGTTGCCGTCGACGCGGATCGTGTCGATGCCGTATCCGACTCCTCGGCTGGCGATGCCGTCGCCGCGATATTGCTCCAGGGTTGGAGTGGAGATGGCGTAGCCGTTGTTTCGGCAGATGAAAACAACAGGGCACGAGCGTGTAGCTGCGATGTTGAGGGCGGCATGGAAGTCACCTTCGCTGGCGGCACCTTCACCAAAGTAGCAGGCAACTACCCTTTGTGGGATGTTAGGATTCTGTAATGACTGAAGCTTCAGAGCGTATGCGGCACCAGCCGCTTGGGGAATTTGTGTGGCCAGCGGGGACGATATGGTATACTATATTTCTCGTCAGCAATATGTCAATAAGGATGTCAGAAACGGGGTTCTCGGCTTTTTTTCATACAGTGTTAATTTTAGAGCTGCCGTAATGAACCGGCATGTTTCGTCCCCTTCCAGAATCATTGCGGTTTGCAAATAACTGGCTCATGAAATCTTTGAGTGTAAACCCACGTTGCTGGAAAACCCCAGTCTCTCTATATTGGGCAAAAATTACATCTTCGGGAATCAGAGCAGCTGCAGATCCAACGGCTATTCCTTCCTCACCCGCGGAAACCTGACAGATCTGTCAGATGGTTTATTGCATCCTGAGAGAAAAAGCTGCTTTAGTGTGAACGTACCATGTAGAAGCTCAATCGACCTTGTCTTTGCGCGTCAAACATGATTACATCCATAATGCTCACTGCGATGTGGAAATATCGAAATTAGCTCGCTATCTATCACACATAGACCCCACCGAAGGCAATGGACAGGCCCGACACAGGGAACATACCAGTCAACATATTCTTATACCACGAAATAACTTCTTCAGCCGTAACATCTGGCGCCCCTCGACTCTTATCCACAATCATTCCATCGGAGTCCATTACTCGATATGTCGGGATGGCAGTGTGCTCTGAGGGGGTTATGAATGACATATCCGTCGTGAACTTGCTATTTATGGCTCCGGGAAATCGAACACTACATTGCGCCAAAACATATGCATTCATCATTAGCTTCATGCCTCAATAGGTCCTCCTGAAAATCAGTTTTGCACTGTCCACAGCCACATACCTGTCCGACCCGGGCCGTTGTGATATCGACGTACTCCATCTTACTGAGAGCTGGGAGGACGAGCGGAGGATATGTTGACTGGCACTGCGAACGCTGCGACTAAGCAGTGGGAAAGACATCTTTTTGTTCTACCCAGACCGAGAAATTGACCGTTGCCAGGTCCCAATTCGAGGATACAGATACAGGTTGAAGAGAGCGACGAAGAGAGACAAGGAGAGCGTTGAAGATGCAATGGTTGTTGTTCCTGCCGATGGTTTGGATATTCTTCGGCTCTTTTTATCTTCTACGGCGGCTGGCGTCGGCGCCGGCAATGCCGCCTCTCACGTGATCGGCTATTTTACCACTCCGCCGGTAATACCCAGAGTACAAATAGTCACGTTTCCCACTTGTCTCATACAATACAGAACACCAGTACAGTACGGAGTAGTACGGAGTACTGTGCGTATATACGTGATGCGACACACAACACACGGCTTTCGGCTATTCGATCTTTACCGGCCAGAACTCTCCCGTAGCAAACATTCGTATATATATATCTCTGTTGAAAGAGCTTGAATCTCTCTCTCGCTGCTAATAAATGACTGCTAGCTACAACTTGTAAACAGGTCTAGGACTATCCATCCCCTCCATCAGGACGCGAACAGGAGTTTGCACTGGATCTGGTTTCCGCCACTGCCATGTCTTCAACATGACCTGCGAAGCCTTATTCCCATCAACTACATCTGCCACAGATCTGCCAATAGCCGGTAAGAATTTGAAAGCATGGCCGCTACCTCCAGTAGCGACTACCACCCCCGGACGCTGTGGTAATGTACATGTACATGGTCAATGACGAACTGGTTGTCAAAGGAGTCGGTGTACCAGCAGAGTCTGTTTCCTGAAATGCCAATTCCATACTCCCGCAGCTCGATCATATAGGTATCGAAGAATCGACGAAGCATGTGGATGGACGCCCCGTCGGGACACCATTGATTGATGGAGATGTTCATTTCGTAATGGGAGTACTGCGGGCTTGTCCTCCATTCCGCACCTTTGCATGAGTGTATTTTGTCCTCCGGTAGCCCAGTTTCATGCATCCACGCTCGTCAACGGGGAAGCCGTACATGTTTCCTTCCGGCCCGCCCCATGTTTTATACCACCAGGCGGGGAATCGGTCAGGAGAATATTTGTGGAGTAGAGGGGATTCCTTGGGGATTTGAATGAATGCCAGTGACGCGGCGGTATTTTCACACATGCCATCAATTTCTGGAAGTATATCTGGAGTCCAACCCCCGCAAGCTATTATGGTCACTGCAGCGGGATAAATAAGTCCATCAGCAGTTCGATGCCTGTAACTCGTCCACCACTCTCCTCAAACCGCTGGAATACCCCCTGAGGATATCCAAGTATGTACCAGGTTGGCCCCCAAGCACCCCGCCGTATGGAGAGCAAATCGGCATGCCTTGTCTGCGTAAACAAATCCACCAATGGAGTCGAACAATCCACGGTATTTCTCGTCTTTACCTCGTCTGAATGCGTCGATGCATTGGCCTCGACCTTCACTTCCTCAGGATCATTCAGGTTGTATTGGGTGTGCCCCAATCTAGCCTACGAAATGTTTTCCAACGACCGCTTGTCGAACTCAGTTAAAACTGATTCATGCGTCACGCGTAGGTTTCCAGTGTTGACATATATTCGATCATCTCTACTAATCCCCGCAGGTAAATCGTTGCCCCGAGTCAAATATTCGTTCCATTTTTCCCAATGTTTTAGAGCTTCAAGAGTGAGATCTTGGGATGTCTTTTCATCCCCGTACGCTGCGCGTCAAGCACTTCTTAGCGTCTAAATTCTCCATGCTAGGGCGCAAGTGGCCGATGGAAAGGGATGTATGTTCAATCGGATTTGGTGATCCTTGGGAAAGGATTGCACAGGGTTGTCCAAAAACCTGAGCACATTATTAATCCTGTCAAATTGGAAGGCGTGTTGCGTTGGATAGTCATATTCAATTACCTCAAGCTCCAGCGAATGCGCTACTTTGTCCCTTAAAGGGGTTGCGCGAGATAATGCCACCGCGAAAAAATAAGGAAACCAGAAGACAAAGAGTTAAAGTATGTATAATAATATTAAGGTAAAAATATACACATGTATTCTCCCCGTGGCAAAGAAAAAGTCAGCTGAGGTTCATAAGAGAAACAGCGTCAACATAAATACATCCCCGCGCTCGTACTATTAGAGTTACACACAAAGGGTAATAAAGAATGCAGAGTCAAAAATGAAACCCTGTCGAGACAAGGATAGTGCTCCCCTCACCAACTAGTTCAAGCCGTGGACAAGGTGGATTCATAAAGGTGAGGCGTTGTATGGACAACGGAGGAGTTCCTCATTCCCAAAATAGACGGCTCAGGTCAGCTCCGTCATTTCCCTCCACGTAACTAAGAATTGGAAGCCTGGTCAGTTTATAATAGACATGCGGGAATGTTATGTGCTATCTTCAAAAAGCTTACTCACATTTACAAGACGACGCTCAAGGGGTTGAGCAGAGTGGAGAGAAGTGGAGCGAGGCCACCAAGACCAAGAAGATTCAAGAGGCCAGCGACCAAAGGAGCGAGCTGAGCGATGAGGCCGCCGACAACCAACATGTCTGGGGCATCAGTCATGGAGGAAATGTTAAGGGTGGTGAAGGTCGACTGGAGCCCCAGCTTGCTAACAATGCCAGTGACGATATTGAGGATGGCCTGGAGGAGATCCGGAGAGATACCATCGACCTGCGGCAAACCACCGGAAGAGGTGATCTGGTCGAGCTTGAGTACCTTGGTGATGGTCAACAGACCAGTGACAACCTTGGTCACTTGGCTAGGGCTAAGGCCACTAATCTCAGGAAGGGGCTGACCACCAAGCACGCCGTCAAGGTTCACAATTTCGAGGCTGTTGGTCACGACTTCGAGGTTGAGGAGGCCAAGGAGACCAGGGGCGAATCCTCCGAAGCCTAGGCCGTTAATGATGGAGATAACGGCGGGCAGAAGTTGAGCAAGGAGGTTCGAATCCAGGCCGTCCACCTCGGGTAGTTCGGTAGGCGCATTAGCTGGGATATCGTCGGTGGGGAAGCTGCACACCTGAGGGAGTCCACCGGTAGGTTCCACTTCCGATGGGACGGAAGGGACTGTCGGGATGCCGTAAGAAGGGGCGGAAGGGATGGCGGATGGGATAACTGGGGGCGTGACAGTGGGAAGAGTAGGATCAACGTCGCTGGGAGTGGCGGTTGGGGTTGGAGTTGAGGATTCAGGAACTCCATACTGCTGCGGAGCTCCGTAGGCCAGGGGAGAAGCTGCAGCAGAGCCTGCAAGGACGAGGGCGGAGAAACCGGTGAGCTTCATCGTGAGTGAATTGAAGTTAATGTGCCAAAAGAGCGACAATATGAAAGGGGAAAAGACGAAGTAGGTACAATATTAATGAATGACTTGTAACTGAACAGAAAAGGAGTGACTGCTGAGAGGAAGAAGAGAGAGAAGAACAGAAAGCAAGAGTTCTTCCCTGTGCGATTTATACATCCTGATCAAGAATGATCGTCAGTCGTGACTTCATGCCTGCCCCATTGCAATTTGTCTGGTGTAGTGATAGTTCGTAAAGATGGTTAAGATGCAATTTGAACTAACCATCCTTCTTCGAATCTTCGGGGGCCATCAGCGAATCGGGCAAAAGTGCGCGATGGAGCTTTTGGCGTCTGAGCAGAAATGTTTCAACCAAAGGATCTCAATCCCACGCAAACGGCTCATCGTGCCTCCAACTGGCCGGTGTGTCCCCTGGACTAGGAATGTAAGAGGCAGAGATTTGCGCAGTTGAGGCGCTTTATATAGAAACTTTCATTTTATGAATGAAGATCGCGGCCAGGGTTGATGACAGTCACACAATGCCAGACACGGCTGATATCACTGGCGGGTGCATGCAACAGCGATGTCCATGTCTTCGCCATTAATATTATTGTCATGCATGTACTCCGTACTCCGTATTTTTTCACCAGCTCTACCTCAATGCTTTTTGCTGCGAACGTGTGAACTGTGGAGAGAATTTCCCCAGGGGAGACTGGTTGCTTATTGCGAGTTGGAAACCTTGATATTCACGGCGGTAGCTACGGAGTAGCTGAAGGCATGCTTTGATCTGGTCTTATTAGCTCCTGCACATCTCACTTTAAATCTCAACAAGCAGCCTTTTGACCGTGTGTCCGATACTCCAGTCCGTACCGCACTATTGTGACCTAAAGCGTTTCCGTCCATAAGTCTTTCGTTCCTGGCCCGCCTTAGATGGCGATGTTATTACTACAAAAACGTGGAGCATCACTTCACGATCAACGGGGGAAGCAAGCAGGAAAATTGTGTCGTACCTGTGTACTTAGAGTATATGGTGCTTGGTTCCTTTCACCTGAAGCGCAGCGTTTTAAGTTGTCGGGCGTCAATTGTAATTTCAAGATATCTTCAACAGTCCCACTTGGGCTAACTACTGATCGCAACTAGATCAATCAACTAAATCAGGAACCCGCTCGGAAATACGGTCCAACCACGCCGAAAGCACCGAGCCTGTACCAAGTGGGCTTCCAGTATAAACTGCTTCAAAAGCTCCCCTCCCTTTGTTATTTCGCCAGACCGTGAGATAATATCCGTGGCGTAATTCCTGAATCATGTCTTTGACAAACAACCATTACACCATTAACAAATTCCCTGGGCAGGGAGAGAAATGTGAGGGGTTGAATATCTTCCAACTAACAACTGCGGTTCGTCCGTGGGGTTCTCATTTGTCTCCCAAGCTGCGGTTGAGCAACAGGGTGAAAACAGCAGAGACCAGAAAACTTAACTATATGTCACTATTAGTATAATAAAAATTGGCTCAACTGAATTGAACCACAAGGCAAACTTCATTTTTTAGAGATCATCAATGTGCTTCTGTGAAGGTATATTTTACTATACTGTTTGCCTACATTCTGGGATAGTCCGCACCAGTCTCATTAGTTGTTGCAGGTTCTTCAGGGTTAAAACGAAATCCACAGTCACCCGCAAGAATATCAAGCGCGAGAGTGCATACACCTGAATTGAAGGTTGACTAAATGCAGGCAATTTTGATCAGCTATGGAAACCCTTCTGGGTATATATGTATTGTGTTGCAGGGTCTGCTATCCAATTTTGCGGGGTATGAAGAATGGGAGTGCATTTGGAGTTTCCATCTTTCCAGTGATCTCAATTTCATCAATTCATGGCCAAACCATCCTCTCACTCTCAATGGAAAAACAAAAATAAAGAGGCTGTTGATTACGCTGCGTAAGCATGGGAAAAGTGGTGACCATCTCCACTAGAATTCATCATATTGCTAGTGATCAGCGGAAGCATGGAGTGGCTGAAACAACCTCTGATGATAGGTAGACAAGTACCCAATGCCCAATGTAGCCCCCGTGTTTTAGGATAGGAAAATCCTACTCATTTTAAAATACCTCTTCTTTAAAATATCATTTGTTCAGTGTGGACTTCTACTAGTAGAGCAGTGGGCCTGATACGCAGATCTTCAAATGAGGAGGAACTCAAACTCTGAAGACTGATTCTTGACAGTGCGTTCGTCTGCTCTCATGGCCAGTCCTCCCTTCTAATAGTTTTTTCACGAACACGGAGTGTTGTCATATCTAGAGATTAAATACAAATACTAATGTTTCTCTTAGCCTTTTGGTACCACCTATGAAGCGCTCTTGGGGAAAGGTGCTTCTTGTCAGAATTTTGTGTGATAGCTCCTGTAAACTTCCCCGATGGCTTTAGAAAAAGGGGGCTTTCAACGGGGTCGAACAAATTAGGGGCAGGCAAAACAGATAATGTGAGCTGAGTACCTACCTTGAAAGGTTTGAATTAATGAACAAAAATGATGTTTCCTACCTAATATCTCTACATGTTAGCTTTATTCCCCAACACTGAATTTGTTGAAGGATTTAATGTTACTTCCCAGCAATATCATCCTGGAAGGAGGATGTGACTCTCAAGGCTGGAAGGTGGGGTTGATTGACAAGTTGATTGACAAGTTGATTGACAGTTGATTGACAGTTGATTGACAAGGTGGGGGCGGGAACACCTTCGTCCACATGATTATCCCCTGTCGGCCTCAGGTTTTGAAGCCGCTGTCAACCAAAAATGGTGAACTTGAGGATACTATGCTGATAAATTGTAGTGTGATGCGCAATTTCATATCTTAGAACACTATTTATTCTCTGTCATAAAGTAGAGTGTCTTCTGAATTTTGCCTGAAGTCAACTGCTGGACTCACATCAACACACTACTTCCATAGAGGCATTGATATGATCAAACCCCAAACATGGCTTCTTCTTGAGAAAACATCATAACTACTCAAGTATAGTTACTATTTCTTCATGGGACAGTCATACCCTACAGCAATTCTAGTACTGATATATGAATTGAATATATAAAAATTAAAATTTTATATCTGAGATAAAACTCTCTGGGAATGAGAGATTCTGATATATTTGTGGGATTTAGTCAAATCCTGTCTCATGTTTGAATAAAAAATCCATTCCATCTTCAAGGCAGAGCAGAAGAACCTTGGGGAGTTGGTTGTACCTATCATTTTCCCCAAGAGTAGACTCAACTATGATGAACAGGCTCACAAACTAGAGTTCCCATGCCGCGAGGTTGAGGTTACCTTTGAGATGTTTCTTTCAAGGCTGTCAAAGTTTTAGATCAAAGCTGCTGTTCTTGGAGTGTCTCTCAACCCCACTATCAGCCAGACTCAAGAAGTATCTGAAGTTCCCCTCACTCTTGCACCTATTGTGAGAGCTCCTGCACAGGCCCAACAAACCACCACCTCTGTCCAGAAAGGTTAAGCAACTTCAACTTATTGTCTTTTTGAATTTGTCTGCTCACCAGTCACTGTGATGACATTTTGTTTGTCCATGGCTGACAACAGAACTATCCAACCAAGAATAATAAATGAGTGTTGATTGTGTGGCCCCAGACCTAGAACAGCCACTCAAATACTGTCCCAAGCAACAAATTTTCAGCAATGTTCATCCCCCCTGGAATTGGTCTCACTGATAACACAATCCCCTTCAAGAACAATTGGCCCATCCGCCTTCTCGTGTATTACTCAACTTTCATCAGGTATCAGTTCTTGGATGTCAACCCCAAAAGGAAATTGGTCAGAAACATGGTGTCCACATTATGATTTGATTCTCTACTCTGGTTCGGGGCATATTTCATCTTACTAACAACAAACTGTCTCGCCTTTGCTCAGGCGCTGATACCGGTGGAATTCAATCTCGGCCATTATCACTAGAAGCGTCATTGAGGCAGGAAAATGCTTTCCTACCCACAAACTATACCCCACAGTGATGCATTCGAAGTACCGAGGAGAGCGGTGCACGGGGTCAGGTTGCGGACAGCCTGTGGTCTGTGTAGATGCTTGTCTTTTCGACTGTGGTAAATGGCTGGATAAATCTAGGCCGGCGACACGAACATAAATTAGCAAAAGCAGTGTTTGGCGGTTCTGGAAAGGTGTCGGAGTTCATATGGATGTTTCTCCCAAAGAGCCCTCCTCCTGACGTCAGGAGCACGGACCCTTCTTCTCCACCTGCGCTTCATACAGCTCTTTTGATTGGCTGGAGCCCTTCAGATGACCCCTGTCAGGCTAAATTTAAGCTCAATGCCAAGAAGTCTAACTTACTTAAGCTTAACGCTAATTTAACGACTTCCACATTGATTGGTCCTAATACCGCTACCGCTACACGCGGCTCAGGGCTGTCGGCGATGTTGGCTGTTGGCTGTCGGGGTACGGAGTAGAGGTTGGTTTGTTGTTTTGCCGATAGAGTACTACTTCGCTGCGAATGGTTTGAGTAGGCTGCATATTATTCCTGCGGGCGGACGAAGGACATGCACAATGTCGCTAGGATGTAACATGTGCATGCTTTGTCGCCGGGTTCAACGAATCCGTGCTGACACCTCACGTGTAAGCAGCTAGCTGGCCGTTCCCGCCTGGTTGATGCTGGAAAACCGGTTGAAGCTCGGGTGGAGGAAAGACACTGTAAAATTTATATTCCGCAGGGTGTTTGTTTATCCTAAGTGATATTTTTTTCGGAACATTGTCGCGAATGATGTTCCAAGCAGTCTTACACGTGTGGCGGTGGATCTGCACTATGATGGCTGAAGATAGCGTGGTTCTCCATTCTGTGCCAAACACATGGGTCAGGCTGAGCATTTCCGTTCGTAAAAAGTGACTTCATAATTTTTTATCCAACTTGTGGTACAAGCACATCAGAAGGGATAAAAAGTCCAATCCGAGGCCATACCACGTGGTCCCGCTCCGAGATCTTCAGTCTCAAAATGAAAGCTCGGAACGAGTATATATATCCCCTCCCGAATAAGAAGAAGGTCATTGATTAAACCGTCAAGAGCTCAAGGCCCGATATTTGAAGTACGGTTAGTACTACCAAAAGAAAATGGCGCCCCTCAACCGTCTTACCACTGCTATTTGCACCACTCTCTTCCTCTGGCCGAGTTTAATTTATGGAAGCCTGACCTCATCCTCAACGTCTCGCACATGGCCATTCCCGAACAAGTCTCTATCACTCCGCTTGATGAGCTTCAATATTCGCTATGGGGCAAATCCCTCTGGAAATGAGAAAGCTTGGTCGGAGCGACGCGGTAACCTGATCACTCAAGTCGCATACGAGATGGGCGCCAATGACAACGTCTTCGTCGGTATGCAGGAGGTCCTCCACAACCAACTCGAGGATGTCGTCAACGGATTGAACAACCACCCCAGCAGCGGCGGGAAAGACTGGACTTATATCGGCGTCGGGCGAGATGACGGTAAACAGCGTGGAGAATACTCCCCCATCCTCTATCGCAAATCGCTCTGGGAGCCCATCGAGACCGATACCAAGTGGTTGTCGGAGACTCCTGACGTTCCTTCTTATGGATGGGGCGCCACAAGTCGCCGGATCGTCACCATTGGTGTTTTCAGGCACAAGCGGACACGGGCACTGGTCCTGGTTATGAACACGCATCTTGACCACCAGGTTTCGGCCGCCCGTCTGCACGGATCGGAGCTCATCCTCAAACTCATTGGTGATTATAAGAAGAAGCGGGAGTACACGTGCAGGATTACCGGTGTCATGCTTACTGGAGATTTTAACAGCGAGGAGGGACAGGAAGCATACCAAGTGGTCACTGAGTCCAAGATTATGGTGGACCCAGCTAAGACACTCGGGGACAAGCATATTTACGGGCACCGCAAGACATTTACCGGTTTCAACTCGGAGGTTGGGCTTTCGCGACTCGACTATGTTTTCGTGGGTGACGGCAATCTCTGCAGATGGGGTGACAAGGGCACCTGGGGCGTAAACCGCTATGCTGTGTTACCGAATAAGTTTGACGATGACGTTTTCTTCTCCGACCACCGGGCTGTGGTTGCTGATGCCCACTCCTGAAGACGACGATAATCATAGATAAATGGATAACGGGGGATATTCTTCTTCTTTTTCTGGGCGGCTATATGATATTTGCTATGCAAAAAGTGTACCTGTACATAAACAAAAAAGAGTCCTAGTATATAACTGGAGGTAAATGTGATATTGCATTGTTGAAAAACGAAATCTCAGTAGATTGCACGCAACCAACATTTGGATGGTCAATTGTTCTTCCTTCTTCAAGTCGGATGGGATCAACGCATGATAGAAAAGAGTGGCTGTACCGTACCTCCGTGAGGAAAGGGCTGACAGGCCCCGTATCTGGGATTTTGCCGTAACATTTTTAGACCGGGGTTGCGTAATCGAAAATCGTCGGCATTATCAAGTGGGAGAGCTTTAGCCAGTTTGCATAACAGGAAAAATTAGTTAAGTCTCTGCTCCCAAGAAAATATCAACTTCCTGCCAAGATAACACGCCAAGCCGCTCAAGATCGCATCGCCTGAGCCCAACCATGCACCTATCAGCTTTTCCAAAATATCATCCCACGTGTGGATGTTCCGCCCCTGCAAGCGGTCAAATGCTGAAGAGGGGAATATACATAGCAAGCAGTGAACATAAAGCAACATTGGTATATCAAAAGGATACCATAAAATATGCTGACCTCTATGTCCTCGAACGAAGCGCATCTGAAGGACCGCAGGTTGGACCACAGCATATTCAAAACTGTTCAGCCTTCACTGTCTCCCTATTAATACTCATCTGTTTTAGAAGCTTCATGGTGCTAGTGTTGACTCCAGTGCAGAATTAGTGGATAATGATATCCATATCTCATTCAAGCTCCTCGGAAGTTTTAAACCTCCTGATATGGGTCGCATTGGCCCAGATCTATTATGAAACTTCAAGTTTTGACGCCCCTGTCTGTTTTCAATGGCGTTTGATCACATGGTAAAATTTCCGATTTAGTATTTATTAACTAGATCATTCGTTGAGCTACTCAAGGTCGGTCCGCATTGGCTGAGGCGCTCCAAATCCTCCAATGGTAGATGCACTCAACGGCTGGCAATAATACTTTTTGACTCCTCCTATACAACTCATAGACAGCTTTCCAATGTTCAGGTATATATCAGTTTGTTCGTTATTGTGTTGTATACAAATACATACCCACTGGCTCTATGCGTGTATAAACGACGAGGATCTAAAACCAGGCGGGGTATGTACCTAATGAGAAAAATCCATGCAACGCCACCCGTCCCGCCCATATATCACACAATTAATTAAAAGGCCCAGTCGGACACCGTACATGCTCAATTCAATCCATCCATCAATCAACAGGTCAATTGGCCGATATCGGTTCGCAAGCCGGATACCACATCCTCGTAGTGGTCATCATTGTTGTCCGCGCATACCTCCCCGGATTCATCAGATCAAGCATGCACTGCTTTGCATGCAGATACGGAGGCGACCAATCCTCCAACAGCTGCCGTCGTGCACCCACCCGTGTCAACCGTGACGGGGGCGAACCCTGCGCCGCTCGTTCCATCGCATAGAGACAATGGACGATGTAGAAACCCCACGTCGTATTTAGGACTTGATGATGGCCCGCCAACACTTCGTCGACCGGCACGGGTTCTCCGTCTAGTGTCTCCCAATACCAGGTATTTTTATACCGGGTTAGGAAATGCATGTACAGTGTTTCGTCCCAGCAGTCTTTGTGTTGCCAGCTGAAAGTTATCATGTCAAAGCGGCAGCCCAGCTTGCGCGCTTCGGCAGGGGAGTTACCGCACCTGGCTTCGTAGGCAGACTGCGTGTGTTGTAACTCTACGGGCGGGATGACTCTGAGGGAAACAGCGTATAGTGAGGGTGGGGAAAGCGATGAAGAAAAATATTTATATATAGTTATCGTGACCAGGAGTGTCAGAGTCAGAATCTTCACAGCGAATAGACTTAGTCGCGAAAGAGACATTCGCTTCGGGCCAGAGATGACATGTTCTTCAGGGAGGAGAGGTTCAAGGCTTTTGGTGTCCCGGTCTATTATGCTCGGGATGTCTTGATGTTTCTCCATGTTTTCAGATGTTTGGCGTTGGGTATCGGTATCAAAGGCTTGTGTGTTAATACTGTGACCAAGACGACTATAGAAGGAATAAAAGCAGTTGACAGTTCCCTGAAGCTGCCCGATGCGTTGCGCTTCGAGAATATAACATGAGAAAACCCCAACACAGAGTGAAGACGCCTCTGACAAACGGCTAGAAGGGAGCTCAGCAGACTATATATATGCGTTCTCGATGTAGGTTGGTGGCCATAGATTGATTGACCTTTCGGAGGAGTTTCTTGCAAGACACAGGTTGGGCAAGCCGGATTTAGCCCTTCGTTGCGCCTTGAAAAACAAACACCATTAAGGAAGAAGATATCTGGATAACAATCAATTTGGCAAGACAGGCTCTATTTATTATCCAGAGAATGGGTTCAAACACGCGTCAGTCAGATGAGGGAAAATGTGCACGCTGCCCTTTACATCAGCGGCGGGTGAAACCAGACTGCTGCTGCCATTCTTCCGCCAGGCCAGCGGGGGCTGGGGGTAGTGTCAGATCTGTATCAAGCTGAGTTTCGCGGATATAACTAGTAGCCCTTGGTAGATTCCTTCCAATACCCAAGGAGAGACGAGACCTAGAAGCGGTCCGAAGCTGCGTAATCCCGCTGAACGTTCGTTACCAACGTTGTTAGTTATCACGTTTTGGGATATCTGACAGTCTGACTCGATGTTCAAGAACCCTAAATACTTCCAAGATTCCAACACGCTTGGGACTTTGCTTGGGACATTGGAGCCACGGCCGAAGTGGAAATGACGATTTGGCGGTGCTTTAAGATTTCATCCTCACTTCCATAATCGAATACGTAACGAAAGGCATTTGAGACCATAAAATGAAATCCTTGCATCTCAAACAATAGCGGAATGGATCTATGTACTGTACATGCATACATTGATGCATTAGCCACGATAAGATCCTTCCGGCCATCTGCTCAACCTACCGACTGTTGATTTGAGGCTGCTGCATCAATCATCGCTTTTGAACATGGATGCTCGAAACTAGCTAACTCTGCTAACGTTACTTCAGCGCTTCGAATGTTCGGAGACACCGATGCAACTACCACTAACTCCGATGCGGCAATCAAGTATTGGCATCCACAGCCAATTGCTTCTTCTCCGTTGTGAGACCGTTATGTTCTTGCAGATTCCAGGAGGGAGTGCGCGGTCAGTCAAAGCCTTGATTCTTACGTTGCTTTGCCTAACTTAGGAAACCAAGCCGAGTCATTATTATTGGATGGACTAAAATACTTCGCCTTAAGAACACACACACACATACATATATATATATATATATCTATGTACTCTAAATAGTATACAAAACAACTACTGAGAGGAACGTAGTGAATCAACACGCCGCCTAAGTTCCGCGATCATGGACCCGCTAACAAAACTTCCATTATCTCTATACAGTGTGTGTTATATATATAGTAATGGTTGTTTGAAAGGTTTAGTTAGAAAGTCGAACTGTTCTCCAAAGTAGGTCGACTAATACCGGATGGGCATCTCTGTGAAGTCGTATTATCAAATCGCCCCGATTAACATTCCTGCGTCATATATATCATCAGATCGTCGTCTCATTCCTGTTCTTTAACCCACATCAGCGCTAGCGGGTAACTATCACTGGCGATGGAGCGGCCTTCGACTGTAAGCGGCAAGAGGTCATGGTCATGCAGAAATTGGTTATGGTAGCACACCTAAGTGCTCTAAAGCTCTATTAAAACAGAATTTGAAATACCAATGCCTTCTCTCATCTTGTTATTTTGACATCAGCGTTTTTTAAAGTTGGCGAGATTGGTTTTCGGATGTCAAGCTCAGGGCACATCGAGGTCTAATTTGGATGTGCAGCATGTTTGGGTCTCGTAATACCGTGTTCCTAGCTAGGCCACTCAACTACGCTGGGAATACCCTTCTTGATACGGATGATGATCTCGTGTTTGCTGCACATATTTCAGTCTTGTGACATACGCCTATGCGTAGCTCTCGAAATACTCACGAGCTTTGATTTCGTAATCGTGCGGATTTGAGGTTTTTTTTTTTTTTTTTTTTTTTTTTTTTTTTTTTTTTTTGGTTTGCCTTCAGTCTTATGGTAGCAGCAGCGACGTTTCCAGATGTGGCGCCTGAATCCATTCGTACTGGGCAAATGTTCGTTTTTGCAACCAGGCGTTTTCTAAAACTGCAAGCGCTTTGGTGATGTTCTGATAATGGTCAATTTTGTGATTGTTAGTAAAAAGTAGGGGTACTGGGCTATTCTCACCTTGAAACCAAACCTCGTCATGCCAGTAAATATTGCTCGCAGGATTTCCTGTTCTGCGGGATCGTTCGACTCTAATGCAGCAATGTACAAGGCCCAGAGCATCCCCAATTGGCCAACACCCCGCCCAAATTCTCTGAACAAGGTTATGACACGTTTGGAAGCTGCTGTTATATGTGGAGGCGAGGCCTGGGGCACACGCTCCCCAGCAACGGAGACCATGTGTAGATAAATAATCGTGGCCTTTTCATACGCTTCAACGCAAGCCGTGCCTTCCAGGAGTTCCGCATTTCCGTGAGTTTTCGTTGCACTTTCGAGAGATGAGTCGATCATCGAGAAGCATTCAGGCACCATCGACCTCCACAATGTAAGTCTAGTTTCAAGGTTTTCTCGGGTTGCCTTTTGACTGTCGATGGACATTCCCTTTCGTTTGGCATTCGCAAAGGAGCTAATATCGGTTTGTATGCACATTAGTAAAGACCAGTGACGACGTAATGCTGATAAAACAGCCGCGTTGCGAGAATCTTCTGGCAAGGAGCCAGAGACACCTAAATTATATTGCCAACCACCACCGTGTGATTCCCAATAAGGGCCTTCGATGACTGTTCCCTCATTCGAAGCAACGGCACCGGCAACATCAAGATACGCTGTAAGCGATATTAGGAAGCGCTTGAGTGATAGTTCCGGCGGCTCAGGTCCCTTATTGAAGAGCGAGACGCTGATTGCACAAGTGGGTACTGGTTGAATCGGTTGCATCATAGCCTCAAAAAGGTCGCGGATGCCACGGAGATGGACCTTCCAGTTCGCCGTCTCCGAATCCATCATCTGCGTAAAACGTAAGTCTCCAAGTAGTGACAGGAGGCAGATTTATCCAGGTATTACTAAAAAAAAAAAAAAAAAAAAAAAAAAAAAATCCAGCTTAAAAAGAACTAAATCTGACCTCGAAAAAACAAAGTAACAAACACGTCGCAAGGTCTGTCATTTGCCAGTGTGCTGGTCCGGCTCGTAATGTTTGCCTTAACGACTGAACGGTTTTGCCGTACATCGCTACCGCATTCTGAATGTGCCACAGCTGGGCCTTTCCAGACGTTGTATTCGCAATTTGGAGCGCTCCCAAAGCCTTCATTGCTTCCGGCAACGTTTTCGACGTATGGGCAAACTTTGGGAACAAATAGCGGTAGGGGTTTAGGTTGTATTCGGTGTCATACACAATTAGGAGGGTTGAGACGGTATTAATAAAATGAGAGTAATAAAGTTCTGCCGGTGAAGATATGGAAGCTGGGAGGAATGACGGCTTCGGCTTCGTGATAGCATTGGAGATGATTTTGCGTTGAGCTGGGACCAGGGCTTTGACTGGATCCTGCATGACCCTTTCTGCCAAATTGGTTTCATTCTCTCTATTTTTTTTAAACTTGTCGCCCTCTCTGTCAGTTTTTGGTTTTCGCCGTTTGGAATTTGGTTCGACAATACCAGTCGCAAACTGGTCAAGGCCGTAGAATTTGAACGTCGCTGTGCCTTGGGCGCCGTCACATTCAAGACCCCTTTTTATGCAGTTACGACAGGCTGGTGAGGCCTCATCGCATCTAACATGTCTGCTTTTGCAAGTAGAACAGCCAGTGAAGCCTCGATGATGCCATCGCCGCACACGCTTGGGCCGCTCGGGAATTGCTGTCGTGTGCTGGTCCATCCTGTTCATGCGAAAGTAATCCTTCAAACATGATGGTGAGGGTGCTTGACCATTAAAATATGGACGCGAGGCGCTACTAGCTTCGGGAGCGCTTGCACTTGGATGCTATGTAGGTGATATTGATCATATGATCTTCTGCTTTTGATTATTCCAAGGTTGTTGTCGGGCAAGTCTTCCTGTTCGTGAGGGGAGGATGAGCGATGCGACTAATATCCTAAAATAGCGGTCTGTTGCTCCCAGCAAGTGGTTGGCGGGCTAGTAGTAACTATGACTTCGCCGCATCGAATGATTCGCCTTCGTCGCTTTGTTCACGCTGTCACTACACCAAACTCCAAAGGCCACAAAAAGCATCAAAAAGGTCAGGAAATCAAATGGCACAGCAAGGAGGAAACCGTGGTCCCTGATATGAAGAGTGTTTGAGGTCAAACTCTCAGCTAGCGCAGCCATCGAGATGATACGAGCCACTAAGGATGACTGGGCCATGAGCCCAAGCGAGAATAGCACCATGACGGCGACTTTTATTAACATCTGGAGTCCATTGTTCCGCGTCCAGTTTTTCTGGGGATCGCTGACGGGCCTTACACAGTAGCGTAGCCTCGCCGAGGTACATGTACTTGGTGTGGTCAGCCAAGCTACCAGTAACTAACTAGTGGCTTGATCAACACTTGCGTAATAATATTTTAGCCCCTACATCATCAAGGATTCAATTAATTTAATCAAACAACTCCTAGCTGTTGAGTTGACTCTCATCTGTTGAAAATTCGACCTCATCATACATAACCTTGCAGCATGCAGCCTCTTGCATTGCGCACATCTTCCCTGTGATCGGGAGTCACCAACAACAGTGCCATTTTCATCTCATGCATACGAAGTGAGAGTCGAGTTGGATGGGTGTGTGCCATTGTCCTCCAAGCTCAATTCCAAAGGCTTGAGGTCTTGCGCAAGTTTTGAACTTGGTGGCTGTCGATGGCGTTCTTCGCGAAAGTTCGATACTTCTCTGGCACACTCAACCCGGAAAGTTTGGTTAAAAACATGGCACGTATTAACGGCTGATGTTGCATAAAAGATAAGATGGCGTTTTAGCCGAAACTCAAAAGCCCTGTGAGAGTTTCAAATTTGATTTACGGGATGTGGTCGCCGATATTTTCGTCGAATTAGTGGGGAGAGAAACGGCGTTTGACCTGCTTCCGATGTTAACATACAAATATCGCCTGATTCATGGGCATGGGTAAACCTGGCGCATGTCCCCTGGATCGCGCTCTCACCGTTTCGCGAACTAGATGTACAAATGATCTATGCAGCGTAACCGCGCGACATTTACTTGTTCGAGCTGGTGCTGAGGCAGCCCTGGCTGTCAGTGAGTGACAGAAAGAGGCGTTACCTTGGCCCCCACGTCGGACCTAATGTTGCCATGTCTTTCAGGATTGCCGTTGCTCTTGGAGTTTTGTGGGGTAGTAGAGTTAGACACCAATGAATTATTAATGGTCGTCTCCGGTTTCCTCACCTAAGTTAATTGCCCAGTTTAGTAGCTGCACATCTGCCTGTGTAACGCATCCTCGCGTTTCTGGCTCGCGAGCGCCATATCTATATCGAAATGGCCGTTAGATGCCGGCTCGGCGTCCATTTCTACTGGTAGCCACCGCAAGCTCTGAAGGCGGCTGACAGAGAGTGCTACGGCGCACGGTATGAGTGTTGGCACGGATAAATACTGATTGGATACAGAAGTTTGGGTTCGTGAAATGTCAGCTCCAACCCGCAGTGGGCGGACTGATAAGCGCCGTATGCACCGAACTAAACCATAAAGTTTGCCGCCTGGGGATGACGATTGGTTGGGGCGAGAAAATATATGAGAATATATTATGAAACACAACCAAATCTCCATCTCAGGGGTTGAGGATAAGCTGCTACCCAGTTCCCATAACTTTGTGTATAAAAGATAATTGTTCAGCTCCCCGCGGAGATCTTTCTACAGGTAGTTAACCTTTTGCATTCATCAAAAAGTTAAGAATTCAAACAAACAGTTCAGGCTTTCCCGTTTCTTAAGGTCTGCCTACGATTTCGGATCTTCCAAGTTCCAGGTCATTCTCGGCACGGAGGCTGCGCATCTCACTACCCAGCAGAATGCACCATCCCCATCCACATTCAATGCCATTTTCGTTGGCCGTTTATTTCGGCACGCAGACAGAAAAGACACCCTTGCTTGCCAGAACGACATATTTTCAGCCAGAATATGGGTATAGCCATTAAAC